GCAAAAAAGAAGGAACATAGAATAACAAGAAAAAGTCATATTACATAAATATCCGAAGTCACCAAATTCAGTAAGAAGAATCTGAACACTGAAGTACTTTGCATGAGGTTGTATTTATATTGGTCTTAGGAATGGAAAAAGAAGAGTAGTTGGCTTTTTGGAAGAAATCTGGTCTGTGCCATCAGCTTAAATGCTACAATTCATGCATTAGGCATAAACCATCTACTGCCTAGACTGTATTCCAGAGGTCTGCTAAGGAAAGAACAGTGCCACAATTCACTCTTCTTTTGACTACTAGCTTCCCTTACAGGAGCAATAAGCATATTTTGAACAGAGAGAATGAGGTTTCTGAGAGCCAGTTCTTTCTCAGTTTATGTGGCTTAGTGCAGGCATGTCCAACCCACAGACCAGGGGCATAAACAGACCATCACAGCTCACAGTGCAGCTGCCCCCAGCCCTGTGCTGTCATTGCTATGCACTCATTGCTCAACAGCAACCAAATAGTGGTGTGCAGTTGGCACTGTCTGGGCTGAAACCAGAGCACAGAAAGGATGCAGTGCAGTGCCAGTTCAAGTTATGGCAAAAAATTGTATGCACTTATATACACTGTCTGAACACATTCCCTTGAACAAAGAATAGGCAGCCTTGTTTTCGGTTTTGATGCAGGAATTTCAGAATAGGTTTCAAGATTGCTGAATAAATCATCAATTTATATTTGTAACACCATTTTCAGTTGACTGAATACATGACCTGCAAATTTTCAAATAGAATGTGTAGAGTTGCAATCAGATATTCTGCTCAGAAATCTCTCTGTTCTTGTCTCCCTCCTAGACTTGTACAAGACCTGTCTTACCAGAGAAAGATATCCCTCACTTCACAATCACACCTTATTCATGTCATCACTTTTTAGCAGTGTGCACGTTTTGAGTAATTACTATCAGGGACAAAGTAGTAGAGGAAGAGTAAAATTTCATCAAAAATCTCTGATGAACATTATGAGAACACACCAAGAATTGGAACCACTGCCATTGGAACAGACTGAAGTCATAGTTACACCAAAACATGGTCGAATGTCCCAATAGTTCTATGGTTTTTTGCTCTCATTTCTTAATGTTAAAATATTAACAGTTAAAATAAATTTTATCACTTATGTGCATTAACTGCATAGTACATTTTACAAAGGCTGCTCCAAAAGCAGTGCCTCCTATTTTATCATGTTGACCCGCAAAATCAGAGGTAGATGTTGGTGTGGTATGGCAGTAGAGGTTGAACCTTCCCACCAGTGTTCCATTACATTCTGTTGCTGTGTGAGATGGACTTCTGGCATGAAAATGCATATGAAGTAAAGGTGTGGAATTGAATTCCTCCGCGCAGAAAAAGTGGCACCCAATGACATTCATTGACACTTTCTGAGTTTTTATAGAGACCAATAGTGGTGGGTGGCACCTTTCAGCAGAGGCAACAGTGATCGTGTGTCAGCTCCCCTGGAGCAGATTTTGATGAGTATGCCGTGCAAGCTCTTGTTCATCAGTGGCAAAAAGCACGTAGCTAATGGTGGTGACTGTACTGAAAAATAAGTGTTTTGTAGCTGAGAACGTGCTCCATCAAATAGTTACTGTGTTGACTGTAACTGCAGTTTCCATGGAAATGAATAGGAGGCATTACATAAATGCAGCTCTTCACCCAGGCAAGCCCAAAGGTTGGGCAGCCATGGCTTAGTGAAAGCCAAAGTGAACTACAGTGGTTTACACTGACTGAAGTTTTCTCCATGGACATTTACAAAATGTTTATTTTGAGATGGTACCTGCATTCACCCAGCATCACCACATATCTACTCTTGCTTCTTCCACCTCTGTGCTTAGAAGCATTTTTTATTAGAAGTAGCTTACTCACAGTTGCACTTGAGAACGTTTGCATCATTCCCAAGAGCCCAACCAGGGTTCAGGAATTGCTGAAAAGGATGTTTGTCCTAAATATAAGTGTAGCCTTCTCTAATCAGCACTTTTCTGAAATTCCACTCTGACCATGCAGATCTTTCCACAACTGTAAGAACATCAAAAATAACACTACTCTTGAATTTTCTTGCAAAAACTTACCTTAGGTGTAGCTTGTGTCCTATTCAATGTTATTTTATTGGCATAGACATTGATAGAGATTTGCAGTCTACTCCAAATGCAGACAGATAGAAGCAGGCATTTTGCATTGTTTTGTGTGAATTCCAACAAGGATGTTAATACTACAGTAACACAGAACTGCTCTTCTTTTTCTGTCTCCTCCTCTCTTTTCCTCCACAGGAGGTACCCCTAAAAGTGACAGGGAATTCCATACTAAGAACCTACTGATCTAATTTCTGTTAGGAGGCAATATAACAGCTCATTTGTGAGCTAACAGTTTTCAGCTAAAAGAAAAAAGATTTGGTCCAGTAACTTGTACATAAAATGACAGCATAAGTTTGTTACATGCCGTTCATTTGCCTGTCAGCAGTCTCTGGTATATATTTATGTGAAACAGTACGCATGTTTTAATGGGCAGAAGAGAGTGATGGTGTAAAATCACCCACAAGAAAAGTTTTTCAGGCTCTAAGGTGAAGTGGCAACAGTATGCATACAGCACCTTAATGCCTTCCTGGTAGGAACACATTGATAACAGAGGATGTGCTGACAGGGAGTAGCAGCAAGCAGCTGTTCTGCTCCAGAGTCAGGCTCACTGTGAGCCAGGTGGTCTGGATTGCCGTCCTGCAGGCTGATGCTGTGAGTGAATAAGGCTCAAGAGGAAGAACTGAATTGCTTAATAAGTTTCTTCCTGCTAAATAAGCATAAGGTCATGTGCATTTCAGAATATAGTTTTTCACTGGAATGCAACAATTTCAAGAAAATAATTCAAATTTATTTTTGTGTTAATACTGGATACCTTATTTAGTCACTTTCCAGTGACAGAATTTTAAAGGTGGCAAAATTACATATCAAAGAATTACGTGAAGAGAAAGAAATTAATCCACCTAATGCAGGTCTTTGCTCTAATTCATACCTCTGCAAAGGAACTATTTCAAAGTACTGTGTTTACTTCTCCTAGTTTCTACTTTGGGCATCCCCAAGGAGCCCAAGTGAGGTTTCACTGGGCATGGAAATGGAAAGAAACTTAGTGCACTGGAGTGCAGTAAAGGCAAAATGTAAACAATCATTAAAGAGACAAATGGAGGAAAAAGGCAAAGAAAGCATCTGCAGGCAGGTGTAACTGTGTCAGTTGCCTCACGTTAGATTTTTTTTTCTTTAGTCTCAGCTTAACTCAGTCTCACTTATTTTGTTAACAGACACAGAGAATCATCCAAGTTTCCAATTTGTGTTTGAGTAATAGTCACAGAATACAATAAATCATTTGTCCTTATGAACTATATTGCACTGCAACAGACTCTCTATTCCAGTGCAGTTAGAGGAGCAGAAAATTTACTTAAAAGCAAACATATAATAAGGGAAATTAATTATTGTGACATTTTGAATTGGATATGAGATGAGAAATATGCCTGCAAAATTGCAAATGAAAATGTAACACTGAAGACGTGTAAAGCCCTTTTTGGTGTTTTGGTTTGGTTTGGTTTTTGGTATAGAGAAAGCAGACATTGTTATCTAATATTAAATGATGCTTCGGAAGAGCAAGTTAGCACATTGTTTTCCAAATTAAGTTTCAAAGGCTGTGTAGGTTATGAAGTCTGACTTTCTGCCCGTAAATGTAGAGTGACTGACAGACTACTGTAAAAATGCCTTTATTCAAAAGGAATCTTGGGCAGATAGCATCAAAGGTTTAAAATTCTGGGAGGGATGAAAAGAAAACCCCACTTTTACCCTGATTTTCCCTGCAGATCAATGCCTGTGTGAATTTGCCTGGGAATTATGAGCTATTTACTGTATTATGCACTGTTTTCTTTCGCTGTTTCTAAAGGCTCCTGTGGTTCCTTTCACACTCAAGACGTAGGGATATTTTTATACATGAAATGTGAATGAGTGAATGCATTGGTGGAACGCAAGGGAAAAATGCTGGTTTTAGACAGTTCTGCTCTCCCTTATTTTATCATGAGTTGGAGTACTGGTTTTATGGCATCTAAATTTATGGTTACATATTTTTCTGCCAAAGCCCCCTGACATGTTCTGCATGCTCCATCAAGCTCTTTCTGTGTTTCTTCACTTGATTCACTGCTCCACAGGATATGAATCAGTCCTGAAGCATAACCCTCAATCTCTTCTTAACCAGAATAATGTACTGTGTTTTTTATTTATTTACTGTGTATGTCATCATCTAATTACGCAAACCAAAGAGTGTACAGTCTCAGTATTTGCTGTAAAACTCAAGTTGGCTATTGATCAGCGCAGGGCATGAAGTTTCTCTGTTGCATATGAGCAGCTTACACAGATGCTAAAGCCTGTATTCAACCAAGAACCCACTGGATCATGGGCTAGACAGTTTCTTTTTAGTAACTCATCACAGCTCCTCAGTTACAGAAAGAGGCTTGAGGAGAGAGAAAGCTCTCTCTATATTGTTTTCAGTTTGGGGCCCCTCTCTGCAAGAAAGATAGTGAGTTGCTCAATTGCATGCAGAAAAGAGAAAGCAAGACATATGTAATAGCTAAGAGAATTGGGCCTGTTTAGTCTGGAGAAATGGAAGCTGAGGAGAGTCCTTATTGCTCTCTCCATCTATTCAAAAGGAGAAAAGAGGCTTTTGGTCTGTTTTCTCAGTTGACCAGTGATAGAACATGGGGAAACAGTCTTAAGTTGTACCAGAGGAGGTACAGACTGGATGTTAAGAAGAGTTTCTCAGAGAGGTAGCAAGCAAGTTTTGGAACAGGCTGCTGAGGGAAAGGGTGGAATCCCAATCCCTAAAGGTATTTGAGAAACATAGTTGGAGGAAGGACCTGATGATCTTGAACGTCTTTTCCAAGCATAATGATTCTTTCTGTTGATGCTTTTTTGCATTTCTTTGTGCACTGGTTGAAACTGGATCCCTTAAAGCCTTTGTTTATTTTTCACAGTGTGAAGTGAAGAAGTCTCCCAGCTGAACTACTATGAGGTCAGAAGCCTTGCTGCTATATTTCACACTGCTACACTTTGCTGGGGCTGGTTTCCCAGAAGATTCTGAGCCAATCAGTATTTCGCATGGCAACTGTGAGTATAAGAGACCTTCATTTGCTTGGAAGTAATTCAAATTGACAGTATTTTGTTATGCTGCGAATAAATAACATTTTTCCTCATCCCTCCCAGATCAACCAATTTACATTCTCAGATAATAAGAACAAGAACTTCTTGACTTACAACAGCTGGATGGTGGGCTGTTTGATTCTCCAAAGCCATAGCCTTTTTCCTCCTCAAACAGATCCTTTTGTAGCATAATTAGACCACATATTTGTTTTATCCAGAAGCAGGTGAGGGAAACTTTTTTCCCCCTCTGTTATCAAATAGTTATTCGCCTGCCCTGTGAAATTGTAGGTCTGGATAACCAGTGGCTCATCTTAGTAGCATACTAAAACAAGAGCTTTAAAAATATAATTGGTTTAGCTAGTACAAATAACCAATCTTAGTTCTTCAAAATCTGCTGTATTCCACTTCAGCATTTGGCCTTTTTGGCTAGAAATGTAGATTCTTTTATTTCTCCTTTTTCTTTTCTTTTCTTTTTTTTCTTTTTTCTTTTTTTTTTTTAATAAGACAAAGAATCTTTTGTAACAGAAACTCTCTTCTTTCTTACCAACACTTGTTGGCAAACTCTCCAAAATTAAGGGTCACACAAACAGCTGCAAATCAGTATTGAGATGTGCTGACAAAACAGGTGGAGAGCTTTCTATGGATTTTACCATGCAAGTCAGATTTGACATAAGTGATTCTTCACATTTGCCACAGCTCAATAGCAATTACTCCAAAGAAAAGTATTCTGAAGTCCCAAAATTTGAGATATTTTATAGGAAGTATTTAGCATGTGAGCCTGTAGAAGTGTGCCAAGAAACAGCAAGTTAGCAATTATAACTCATATTTAAATCTACTTTGGACCAGGAATTTGATTTTGACATCATGGTGCTGGAACAAGGCAGAATTACTCTATAGAAAACCCTACTGAAGTTGATTTAAGGTGACCACCAGGCTCTCAGCAGCAACATTTTTACCTTCCAAATCGTTACGCTGATTGTTTGTGTGAAACATGGGATAAATTCTCTCCAGCACAGCGTGCTGAAATGCATGTGAATGTGCAAGCCCAGCTTCTATTAGATCTGTGACTTCCTATAGAAGAAACAGAACTGAATAGAGAAGAACCTTGGTCAGAAACATTGGGCTTCTGAATGTAAATCCTGGCTGGACTCTATTAATATGTTTCCCAAAGAGTTCTCAGCATCTGATTTACAGAGTTTCTCATACATGATGTTCTCAAGTGCTCTGCCAAAGCTGTACTGCCAAAGTCAGTGCTTCAACCAGACTTGACAGAGAGAATACTTTTAGAGGACAGTGACTGAAAAACACCAATTGAGTTTCTGAAGAATCAGGCTCCCTCAAATAGCTGCAGTTTTCTGGGAAAACATATTGATGGGGAAAAGGCTCGTGTATGGCTTGATGCTAGTCAGATCTTTGTAAGGATTAAGCACTACACAGGCTACTCAGACAGTCTGGATTCTCCCTTCTTGCACATGTTCAAAAGCTGCCTGGATGTGGTCCTGGGCAACCAGCTCTGGTGACTCTGTTTGAACAGGGAATTAGACCAAATGGCCTGCAAGGGTCCCTCAGCCAGTCTGTGCTTCTGTGAATATACAGACGTGGCACTTCTGTATTATGATGTTGTTCATCGGAGATTTATTGTCCTCTTGTCTTTGAATTTATCTGTATAGCTCCCTAGTTGGTGCATCTAGACATCATGATCATGCATTCATTTACAACCTAACTGCAAAGTGGCTCTTGGTCAAAAATATTCACTATTATTGTAGAGAGAGACTAAATGCTTGTGCTGATTAGTAGGGAGGGGGAAGAAGCTGGCATGATGATAGCGTAAGATCAATAGAAGGCTTCCAGTCAGTACTGTTGTTCAGTTTCCAGAAGACTGGTTGCCAAAATAATATGCAGTGACTTTTAATTTTAAAGAAGTTTGAGTAGTGGTTACCCATAGTTTCTCAGAAATCCCCGCAGCTGCTTTACAATATCAGTCCAGTCCTGTAGGAAACCCACTGAGCTGACAGTTCGAACCACTCAGAGCCAAGTCTTTTGCTTTAACCACTACTAATCCAGTCACTGTGATGATTGATGGGCCACTGTAAAACTGCTTTGTCCTGCTAGATACACTTTGGCAGCCAGGAGCCAGCATTTAAAGTCTGCAAGCCGTGAAAGAAAAACTGTGAGAAAGTGCCATGTACCTCTGTGCCAACAGCTCTAGAGCAGCTTTACATTCTAAAGAAATTCACAGTTCTTGTCTTCTAAAAAATGACTTTCTCCTTTGCAGCCTTAGCCCTCTGTGCGAGTACCTTCCCGCCCTAGGCTGTGATGCCGGGGGAAAAGAGAAACCACAGATTTCAGCCATTGCCACGTTAGCATGTGATTCTGTTTTGTCCTTTGCTTTTTCTCTGGAACCTTGCTCTTCTTCACTTCCCACAGATACAAGACAGTATCCGGTGTTTGTGGGTCACAAGCCGGGACGGAACACCACGCAGAGGCACCGGCTGGACATCCAGCTGGTCACGGTCATGAACAGAACCCTCTACATTGCTGCTAGGTCAGTAGTCCTCTGTTTCACCACTCCTCACTTGCTTTGCACAGAGCGGGAGGGAGAAGAGGAAGGATATTCTGAGTTTTCCTCTGCTGGGCATGTTATTCTTAGGATTTTCTCACACTCATACAGAGGTTTGCAGGCTCTTAGTAAGATGTATTGGACACCTTGTTAGCCAGCTGAGGCTCAGTTCTGTGAGAAACTGAGCCATCAATTTCAGGAGTTCTTTCCCATTGCTCCACCTCCATTTGAGCCTGGGAAGAGAGAATTTGCAAGACTGGTGCCATAGAGGAGATAATTCATCTTCATTCTGTAATTTCACTTGTGCACACAATTAGTTATATGTTTTAGAGAATGATTCTGTTAGTGCACAAATGCATGTTTGAATAAGAGTCGTTAAACTTTAATGTTGCTAGTTTAGGCTTATTTTCAGTACCACAAAGCAGCAACAAAAAGTTGGGGGTGGAGAAGAAACACATTTTTGCTGCTATTCTATTGATGTACTCAGAAAGGTTAACTGAATTTGGTGTTTTGGATTTTTTTGGACTGCTGCTCTGTGCGGATACAAACACCTCTTTATATAAATTGCATATCAAGCCACTCATTTAGCTAGTGTAGCTCAGCATAGCACGACCAGCTTCGGTGGCACTACACTGATTTATACAGCTGCCTGCCTGGCACAGACCCAACAGTAACTTCCTCTCCACTCCTGTTGTTAGCAAAGGAGGCTGACAATCTCCAAGTGGGAACTACCTGATGGAAACAGGATGAATTCAGGAAGGGCCAAGATTAGCAAGGGTCAGAAGCCCAGCTCAGGTGCTCCTGGACCCAGATCCTGTTTGGGAAAGCTGCCCCTCCAGGAGAACCTTATTTCCTCTCATTTTTTCTGGTCCTTCTGCTCCTCAGAAACATGCAGCCTTCTGTGAGCTACAGAAGGACAGGCTGTTTCTGCAGATGGGAGAGGTGGTGGGTGGGATGGCTGGGGGTGAGGGAACAGCTGCTGAACAGGCAGCCCCTCACCACTAGTCTGTCCTCAGAGCCCCGAGTAAGGTCCAGGAGCTGTCTGTTGTTCATCAAGCAGTTCCTTCCCATTTTCTGGGCGATCAGATGTGGCCTGTGGTAGAGAGTAATTCCTGTGTACAGCAGCCAAGTCACTGGTGCTCTTTTTACATGGTCGTTTCTTTGGCTGCTTGAAAACTGCACTGTTAACTGCTCACCTACAGGCTAAATACAGCTTCCTCAGGCTTCTCACAAGCTTCACTTTACATTTCATCCATGTGCCAGAGTTTGGGGCTGTAGCTTAATACCATGCCCTGCTGGCTTCCTTGCAGTTTCCCCTACCATATCATTTATTCCACAAAGCAACAGCAAGAGATAGGGATTTGAAACCAAAGTGTTGAAGAGTTTGAGGTTTTTAAGCAGAGAACACTTTTTTCTTTTTTTCTGATTACTGCCAGTTTGTTTTCTGTTGTTTTCAACACTGCTTTTTTCCTGGTGTCCCCGGACAGGCCGTCACACTGCTCCCTTCTCCCAGAGGCGACCAGGATCAACCCCTCATTTTCTGCTTGCATTCAATCCTGGCAAAGTGTGTAGGTCGAATACCACAGCTGGCTCTAGGACACAGGACCGTGGTTCCTCTCCTCCAAGAGGGATTCAGGTTCACTTTGCAGTGGAGTGCTGACCCCACTGTGAGGCCCCAGCTCAGGGAATGGCGTTTCTGCCGCTTCCAGTGTGATAACAAGCACACAAGAGCAGAGAGTGGGCTGAAAGTGTTTGGAAGGTGGTGGCAGGATTTCCTCCTTTTCAAGGCTGATTTCGCTTTACTTTCCTTGTTTGTTTTCCTTTAAATGAGGAAATCATTCGCTGGGAGAAGGTGGTAAATCTGCTTTAGTGGATTTTGCCCTGCTGTACTCATAGTTTGTTCCCAGAATGAAAGATTGACACAATTAGAGTTGCACTGCCCAAGCAACCAGCTTTACAGCAAGAAAATACACATAAGCATTTTGGTATATGAAACTGTTGCACAGGTTATATAAAAAATGAAAATACAGGGAAGGAGAATATGTGTATTGGTGTACATTTATGCACTCTTACATATTCTGTAGCTATGCATTTGTATGACACGTTTTACCTTAATGAGAATGCTCTTATACTCCTTGGGCCTTCTGACCTACAAAAAATCATGAAGATGTAGTCTCTTTTGTAGTTAAACACGCACAAAAAAATCTTACATTTTTTTCCTTTGGTACTCAGGCACCCTTTGTTATGTTATTTTCTCTCTCCACATGCTACTGAATAAAATCTCTGCTGGGCTGAGAAACTTGTGTGATTTAAGCTAAAATTCTAAGGTAATTTTCATCTGAAGTGATAAACTTCAGAAAATGAATCATCTTTTGATAGTGTGAATGAGGGTTTACAACTGCAATATTGGATCTCTTTCAGAGGCAGTAATACAACTAGAGATTACATACATACAAAGGTTGAAGCAAGCATGTACACAATCAAAGGTGTTTCTCGAAGAGTTTGATAGCAAGATAATTGCAGCTAACATAAGTCTCCTAGATATCATACCAGGTCTTGCTTTCGTACCATTTTTTCACTCGTCAAAATACAGTCATTATAAATTTACATTTGTACCATTATCTGAAAAGCAGTCAAAACAAACTGCTACACATTGACAGTTTTTGTTTTGGTGTTTCTGTTGTTGTGGACTTTTTTTTTTTTTTTTTTCCTTGTTTATTTGCTTGTTTTAGAAAGCATAGCTTTGCTTTGCAGGCAGACTCCTCCAGGAGGACAGACTCGGGTGGAACTTTATTTCTGACTGACTGAGACAGAGAGTGATTTCTGTCTGTTTGTCACTTCTGTCATATGGGTGTGTGACTTCTGTCTTGACTGCTCTGAAGTATAATTCTGTGTCACTTTGGAAAGGCTTTACTTCATATTATCAGACAGAGATAAATTAACATGAGTCAACCAAAGTTCCTGAAACCATGTTGGTTTGCAGCTAGGATGCCTGAGGTACAGTCTGTATACGAGCAGCTGTTTTCTTTTTTTCTCATGGGAAGGCTAACATCTTGCCATCTCTCACACATTCGCAAATACGAGCTTTTTTTGCCTTGCCACCTCCTCCCACTGCCTTGTGTGGTGGCTGCTTTTGTCCACTTTATCTGTCATCCTTCATGTGTGTGTACGAAAGAGTTGACTGAGCCTGTGGAGCATCGGGGCTCCCTCCTCATTTGCTGTTACACATTTTCTGATTGGCCAAGGGTCATCTACAGCCGGTGGCATTATTTAAATTCCCTTCCTCTGCAAGTCCATGCCATGGCAACAAAACTCAGTTCTGCTGACTGGAGGTGGGAAAAACGGAAGCTCTAGGATTAGGTCAATTTGTGTTAGAATAACTTAATTAGCAACGAGCTGTACACATACCACAGCCAGTAGATAGCAGGATTTGGGCAGCAGTGGGAAAAAGAGAGCAAGGACAATCCTGTATTGTCTGTGGCTGGAGAACCTTCCCCACCATCTCATAGCACTTTGCTTCTCTGCTGGCATTGTCAGCAGCTTTATTTCAAATGCAGCATGAGAAAGTAATAGGTAATTTGCCTGATACTGACCCTCCTTTCGATGATCCCATAACTTAGCATATGATTTTCCTTTCAGCTGTTTCTTAAACCAGAAAGTAAGCCCCCTGGGAGATGTTTTATGGAGCATGGAGCTAAGCAACTCGAGCCTCTTTTTGAATACCGCAACTGTATTTTTAATTGTCCTGTTTCGAAAGAAAAAATCATAGCCCATGTAAACTAAGACTGATCATTACAATCAAGAGCTGTGCTGGAAGAATGTTTTTAGAAATCCAGCAGCACCTAATTTGCAATTCAAGAGACTTTGTTCCCACTTTTATCTAGTAGGAGTAACAGCATCAGAGATGTACATTAAAAGGGAGCTGTGTGCTAGTCTGTGAAGCTGATACCACACTAATAGGTAATTTTAGTCCAGCCCTGACCACTGCTATGTCAGTGAAATCATAATAATAATAAACTGAGGCATTAAAGTCATCTTGAAAGAAAATGACAGTTCTGTTTTTTCAGAGTCTGGAGGAGCAGAAAACCCACAGCTCCTCAGTTTGGCATCTTATGCAGCAAATAACTTCAAGTGTCATAGCAGGCAGGAGGTTTTTAAAAGCAGGTTCCCTGCAACTATGCTGCCTCTTTTCTCCATGCGAGGGAAGTGTTGCTAATTCTTATTATGGCAGTGTTTTGTGTTTGCTTTGCTTGAGAGATAGCACTATTTACACAAAACCCAAAAAAGTGAAGCCAGGCTTAACAGCTGAAATTTCCAAAATGGAAGCATTCTGTATGCTGCTCTCTGCAGACTCCTATGTAGACCTCTCACGTGCCACAGACCATTCTCCATCTGCATAGCTTCCTGCATTCTCAAAAAAAGTCAATGCTGTTTCACAAAAAAACAACAACAACAAAAAAGTGATGCTCAGTATTCTTCTCTCTTCATTCCCAATTTCATGTGGCTGTTAGTATGGTGCTGTGGGTTGTGCTTTTTTTTAATCTCCATATAGAAATGTCTGCGTTCTCAGCTTAGCAGGAGAGGATGTTTAAAAATATCTCTATACCTGAGTGACTGAGTCTATTTATTCTTTCCTAAGAGAAATTGGCAGCTAATTATAAGGAGAAGCATGCTCTGAGAAAAACACTCTGAGGAAAGTAAATGCAAGCAAGAAATGTGGATTTTGTTGAGAGGAGCATTTTACAGTTTGGTTTGGCTATTGGTATGTGAAGAGAGGACTCCTGGGAAGAGCTGTGTGGCTGTCAGCCTTTTGGCTAGCATATTGTCAGCCAAATTATCACATCTGAAATTAGAAAAAAACAAAATAAAACAAAAAACAAAAAATTAACCTTTTTTTAACCCTGAATGGCTAAATATTGCACAGTGAGTGCTAGCCCAGAATGGTGACAAAGACTGTCACAGATTGCATCTTAGTTCAGATACAGAAAAAACGTCTGCATTCTGGCATTAGTTCTAAGTCCCATTGAGCAGAAATTATAAAATTATATAAGGCTCATCTTCCATCCAAAATTTTAATTATTCATATAATCCATTTTGGGAAATAATCTTGCTTTGAAGTATTGTAAAATTTCCTTTTTTTTTTTTCTTTTTTCTTAAAGAAAGGAAATACAGTTTATATGTGGAAGTGCTTTTCTGGGAGAAACAGGTAATGCTGTCAGTTAAGTTCCCTGGTAAGACCTGTGATCCTTTTTTGAAAGGATTATGGATTATCTTGTCAAGTAGGTCTCCTCATGGAAAATGAATGGTTTTACTACACCTTTTGACTCTGCATTCATTTGCTTTTGTTTACAGGGACCATATTTATACAGTTGATATGGACACATCACATACAGAAGAAATTTATTTTAGCAAAGTAAGTAGTTTTTATCATCTTTCAGAAACAGAAGGCAATGGTCCAAAAGTAACTGCTTTTTATTTTATCATATTGGCCCACAATGTCAAAGGTGGTGGTGGTGTAGGAGTAGAGGCTGGACCTCCCCACCAATATTCACAGAATCACAGAATGGCCAGGGTTGGAAGGGACCTCAAGGATCATGAATCTCCAACCCCCCTGCCACATGCATATTCCATTATATTTAATATTCCATATTCCATTATTATTATATTCCATCCCATGTTGTTGCCATTTGACGAATCGCAGCAGAGGGGAACTCTAACAGAATGACGTCTGATATGGAATTGTGTGCAGGGCAAGGGTGTGGAATTGAATTCCTCCATGCAGAAAAAATAGCACCCGTTGGCATTCATCAGCACTTGCTGAACATGAATGGAGATCAAACAGTGGATGTCAGCACAGTGAGGTGGAGGATGGAGTGTTTCAGCAATGGCAAACAGGGACATGAAAGATAAGCCATGTTCTAGGTAGCCAAGTGCAGCTGTCAAGCCACAAAATGAAGAGTGTCTTCATCATCTAATTGATGTGAATCACTTACTGCTGATGACTGTGTTGACAAAAAGTGTTTCGTAGCAGAGAATTTGCTCTATCAAACAGTTTTATTGTGCTCTTTGTATCTGTTGTTTCCATGGAAAAAACAGGAGGCATTACTTTAGGACCAACCTACGTATAATGACTATACTATTCCAATTATGTACACTGGAGCTTTCATCATAAAAAGCAAACACTATTAACATATTTGCACAGAAATTTGTAAATAAATCTGTAAATAAAATCTTACCATAGCAGCACTTTGTAGATGTATCCACATTATCTCCATGGCAAGATGAATTGAAATTAAGAAGAGCTTTATCTGCATTACTGCATTGCAAATTAGCATAAATTTTCTAGAAATAATCTCCCTTCAGCTCCTCCTCACGTAGTGTAATAAGTGACAGACATAGCCTTTGGTCCAGCAGAAGACCATATCAGTTTGGCCAATGCATAGATTCCACTGTAGGAGAGGAGAATTTGTTGATACATCTATGAAAGGTGCTGAAGATTAGCTTATGTCTTGTTGCTTTTCAAAAAAGGGAGGTCATAGGCTTGTTACGGAAATAAAAGCAATACTGTTCTTACATTCATACTCATTTATTCAGCTTGGGGCCCTTAGTGAATGGAGGGTGACTCAGTGTACTACTAGGAAATATTGTCAGAAGAAGTGTAGTGTCTGAGGTGTTACTGCTATCTTAAGCCACATTTTAAATAAATATTTATTATCGTTAATCAACCTACCACATTAAACCATTTATTGAATTCATTGGAAAAAAGAAAAGAAGGAGGTTGGCATTTTTGGAATTTACCTGAAAGTGTTCCAGAGAAAGAATGCTGGTAGATGAAATCAGCAGTATCTTGATAAACAGAGCACTCCCTCAGACTGCTAGCTAACTTGAAATGATAGAATTGCCTTCACTATAATTTCTTTGCTAACGTGAAATGTCCTGGAATAGATACTCCACTTAGATTCCAATCAGGATATACAGTCCATAAATGTTTATTTTGATTTGTGCAATAGTATTAAATTAAAAGAAAAGAGCATCTAGTGTTTTTGGAAAAGTACTTATAAGTTTTAGCCTATTGCAAAATTCAGTTGCCTTAGGATTTAAAAGAAGAAAAATAAAAGGGAGAGGTTTCTGGTTTAATGAATAGATAGCAACACAAAATTAAGTGAATGGTTCACATCACTGATCTTTCATTGTTACGGCAAATTAATCACGGAGAAAGGGTGCAGAATGGTTTTAATGAGTACATGTTCAACAGCTAGTCTCCCCCAGGGGACTTCTACTTCTGAAATCAAATGCAACAACCTCTGGGCTCTAATTGATTTCTTTCTTGATCCTTGCAGAAACTGACGTGGAAATCTAGACAAGCTGATGTAGACACATGCAGAATGAAGGGAAAACATAAGGTAGGCAATTTTCATTTCTTTTGCATCTGCCACTTTAGTTTAGTTGCTTCACTACTATCTCAGGCTGCTGTCTGTGATGTGGAAAGGATCATGCCATTCACTTCTTCGCTAGTAATTGCTTTTTCCATCACCCCAGTGAAGGCTTTAATTTGCAAAAAAATAGTTTACTTTTAATGTGATAAAGCATTACGGCAGGAGGCACAGCAACATCCCAAAAAGCTTAGAGCACTGGAGGTTTTGAACATCATGCTATGTGTAGTGTTTTAGGTTAACACCATCTCAAGAGCTAAGTGCTGTGGTCCATCCTCCTGTAGGGGCTTACAGAAAAGTTTATATGACATGTCAGTGTGTATAGAGGGAGGACTGTTTCTCACACTAGTCTTCCCTTAGTGTAACACACAACTAATATGCGTGAGGTCAGAGTTAGATGTTGATTCTGATTCTTCGTAGAGCTTCCCCTGCTTGTTCCAGCTGCTTCATGCAGATACACTGAGACTGTTTTACAGCAGCACAGGTGAGATGATCAGATTTTTCACTCCTGAGGAAAGCAACAGTGTTCAAACAAAATTCTAAGTGAACAGCAAAATCTGAACTGCAACATGGAAATCATATCCTCAGTTCTTTGTAATCATTTTTAACCACCAGAATAGAAATAAATTGCATCTCACTCATTGTCAATAAAACACAGTTGAAATAAAGCCTAGAATGTCACAGTAACTTCCAGCCAATTTCATTTTAGACAGTGAAAATTTCATTTGACAGTGAAAGATCACATTGAAAAAATAAAACCAGACACCCAAGTAGAGTAACTTAAATACTTTCTGTTGTCTTTCTTCAGGATGAATGTCATAATTTCATTAAGGTTCTCCTAAAAAGAAACGAAGATACTCTGTTTATCTGTGGAACAAATGCATTCAACCCTTCTTGCAGGAACTACAAGGTATGTGATCTGTTAGTGAGATTTCATTTGTGACCTTTCCTTCTGTTGGATTTATTGTGACAGTGCTGGCACAGCATGAAGTGTGTTGTTCAGCAGTACATCTTTCAACTCCGTAGCCCATCTATTCAAATATTTCCCATTTTTTTAGGCTTGCAGCAATCCTATGTCATACAGCCTTCATCAGCGGATGTCTTTGGAGTAGCTGTGAAATTAGTTCAGTTAGGCCTTGGTATCTGGGCTCTGCTTTTTCAGGCACTGCAATATCCCACAGGTTATTTCTTATCCTTCAGGAAAAAGAAAATTCAACTTCACTAGTGCTGCTTCTGACAAAACCACAGCAGAGAATTCTTATTCTCTTCAGTGCTGTCAAAGTGAAAAACAGTATAAAGACATTAACACTGAGGAAATCAGCTTCCGTAGTAGTATGAATGCTGTTTCTGCAGTGCTGATTTACTTTGTTTAGCCACTGTATTGTCTATAGTCTAGGAAGTGCATTGGAGAAGTTCAGCATAGTCTTTTATTTCAGTCTCTAGAGGAAGAATCAGATTTATTCATGTATGAGCTTGCATCACGCATCTGGTACAGGTAGCTGATGTTCTTGAAACCTCTGTCTCTCTTCTTCTTCCTCTCCTTGCATCTTGCTCCTAATGTGCAACTAGGTTTCCTGGCTTCAGTGTGATATTCAGTTTTATTGTTTCATTTTACTGTTTCATGGCCCCTGCTCAAGCTGCTTTTGCTAGAAAGCTGACTTTTAACACAAATGCAGATTTCGTTGGCATAAATGGCTCTCCTGACCCCTGCTGCAGGTGTTTCATTCCTCATGACACATGGCCCCTTCAGGATTCCTCACCTGTCACTGAGCTGCCTCGTACCCAGGCAGTCAGAGGAAGTCACCTTGACATCTCCTCAGGCTTTTCCTCTATTACTGGGTTACATAGAGAGATCACTAAAGTTGTGCCTAACAGAGAACAGGGCTATCCTTCCACGCACAAAGTAGAAGTGTAGACCAGCCTGCGGTACAAGGCTCAGTATAGGGAAGGCTGCACAGAACTGCATTTCCCCTCCCTATCATCTGTAGTGTTTTCCATCCTCAAGGAAGCACAACTAATTCCCTTCACAATGGATTTGAACAGAAAAGGCACATGACAGAAAACGAATGCTGACAGATCATCCACCAGAGGACTTAGGTGCTGTAACATTCAACCTAGAAGCTGGTGGGAGTAGCTGATGCTGCCAGATGGGTTATTTTTCATGCTCTGTGAATCTGTACTGTGTGTGGTTCGCATAGCGTGAGCTCATCATGTTCCTTGACTATGCTAGGGAGATGTTTATTCCCAAAATACTGCTGTATAAGAATCTTAAGCAGGTAAGAGCTGTACCTTTCCCACAAAGCTTGCTAAACCCTCTTGAACTTACTGTAAGGTTGATCTGTGTATTTGTATAATTACCAGTGCTTGGGGTGAATTTGTCTCCCAGGAGTTACACTTAAGCCTTAGATTTTACAATTTCTGCACAGATTAATTCTTGCCTGATGGTAAGAGGATTTCTCCATAACACAGCCTCAACTGATGCTTGGAGGGCATCCTTCTGAATATGAAGAGGCACTGCTTTTGTGACTAGACCAGAAGAATCTCCGGACTTTGGGGGGAGAAATGCACACACACATAATTGTCCTAGTGTTGTTTCTTCTGACTGCTATGGCTTGCAGTCTTTTGCTGTGTATAAAAGCACTTCTGTTGGATCACTGTTGAGGATATATTTTGAACCCATGCCAGAACCACAGACCACGTAGCCTGCTGCAGTTCAACAGGAAGCTTGTGTGTAGATAAAATATTGACTGAAGACTTTTGTAAAATGTGTGTAAAAAGTGAGAGTGATTAGGCCTGAGAGAGTGCCTGACTTACTGGATGCACATTGTTCAGCCTGATTTTGTTTAACGCTGTGTTTTTTGTCGTGTCCTTCATTCATAGCCAGGAGGGCAGTTGCAGAAAGGGCTTTGCTCCCTGCCCAGAAATGAAGCTACAATTAACCTGGTCCTGGGTAAGAAGTCTTGCTCCCGTATCTGAGGAGCTCCCTTTTGTTTTTCAGGTGGATACACTGGAGTTCCTGGGTGATGAGTTCAGTGGAATGGCCAGGTGCCCCTACGATGCAAAGCATGCCAACGTTGCATTGTTTGCGGGTAAAGAAGAATGACTGAAATAATCTCTTTTGCTTTCCTTCCTGCAGCCCAGGCTTGCCATTGAGTCCAAATGCCAAGGTAGCAGATAGGGAGTGGATAATGACTAAAAATAAGGGCCATAAGGAACTCACACGCACAGGAAGCCTTGCCTTGTCTGGGACTGGCTTCACTACCAAAAACAGCATTGCGTGAAGCCTCAGTTTCTTGGTTCGGTATTTCAGTATTTCCTGGAGTCATAATAATACAATGCCAGACGAGAGTGAGGCACCATTTCTGACTGCATCCTGCTTCTGTGAAGGGCAGGGGCAGGGCTTATGTGAACTTTGATGAGGAAGAGACAGGATATGCTGTTTAACAACTCTAAAGTTACTTCTATTAGTGCAAACCATTCTGATCTTCTCTTACATTCGGCTGTAAAATTAGATGATAAAGATAATACAGAAGCCACCTGTGATAATGTCACAGTCCTATTCAGTAGGTGTACTGCAAGCAGGGCTTGGGTACCTGGAAGTACTTTAGCAATTCCTCCCAAAATGTTGAGGTGTAGGAGTTTGAACATACGGAGCCACTAAAGATCATGTCCATGGCATAACTGCTGCATTAGCTGCTACTGCATTTGAGCTGGCATGGTCTGCTTTACAAAGGAGAGATTTTATAGCTGGTTGTAAAAAAATTATTTGCTCCCTCTATGGTGTGTAGTGGGTCCGTTTGTTTTAAAGCAATGGTGGTCATGATGATGGTGATACTGTGTAGTTTCTTAATTGCAGTCGGAAGATCATAAAACTAGAAATCCTTTGATTATAGGTGATTTGTAACCCACAGAGAAAGAGGCACACCTTCAAAACAAGATGCATCCCAAGTGTCTCAGATTGCTGTCTTTGGGGCAGTCTGAGTCAGCTGTCAGGCATGCCTTATTCACTACATTGGCCAGAAAAGGCATTTATAACCAATGTAATGCAAACATTTATCTACATGCAGCTGAACCGGGTGAGATGAGTCCCATCTCTGTGGCTGTAGAAGTCCTCACATTATTTGAAAATAGTATTTTTAATAGAAATAAATTCTCTGGCTCTTAGGATGATTCAGTCTGAAAATGGTAGTGTCACAATAAATTCTTACCGATTATACCCTGTAAGTCTCCTAGCTTCATAAAATTGGTTTGATACAGCATACATACTGATCTGTGTGATAACTTTTCAGAGTGCAGAGGAACGCTGCTTCAGAGCAGTTTAGGGCACAAATCCAGCTCATCTGAGTCTGCTGGGAACGCTTACAAGAATATGGCTCTTCTTGCAGCTTGTAGCTATTTTAGCTGATATGTGTGAATTGTAATTAGTCACATGGTCTCCTGCAACTTGTTAGAAAAAAAATAAATGTGTGATTGTATTAACATGAGTTCAGACATCCACAGCTAAACAATTCAGCTTTTTATACTATTTTAAATTGTTTTTAGTATCTGCCTTTATTTCCTTTTTTTTCCAAGTCCTGCTAAAAAAAAAAAAAAAAAAAAAAAAGGCTGTTATTAAATGATGATTGGAATTGCAGGGTGAGAACAAGCAGAAAAGTCCTGCTAGCAAAAACCAGTCATGATTTTTAAATCCCAAGCTGAAATTGAACATTGACTGTAGGTGCAGTGAGAAGAGCTTCTTATCACAAGGGACTCTCTGCACATGCAGTAAGCACCATCAAGGCCCCAGGAAACCTTAGATGTGTGCTGTTCTGATATTCTGTAGACACAACAGAGATTCAAGCTGCTGGCCTCATGCCCTGGCACTTGTTCTCCTACCAGCCGCCATGGTTCCAAGGCCTGCCTTGTAAGGGGAAACAGTACCAGGTTATCATGACCTGTGAACAGTTCTGACCATCAGTATCAATTTAAACTGCAGATAAAGCTCATGCATTTACCTTCAGATAGTTTTGCATCTTATGATTGTCCTTGGGGTTCCAGTCTGTAGTCCCCTTCTTACCATTAGTCCTCCAGCATTGTTTAAGAGAGAGAAATTGATAAATCGTGTTGAAATGACCTAAGACACCATTTTAGAAGAGAAACGTGGACAGGCAGTCCTACTTCATTTCATCATATCTCTGCTTTGCCTTAGCTCCCTGCACACCACTGAATTTTTAACTAGTGATCTTTGGCCCAGAAGTACTCACAGAGTGAAAAACTCAAATAAGTGAGAGTTAGCTGGCAATCCCCAAGACCTGTCTGCTTTTCTCTCCTGGTTAAAACTAATTTCTGTTGAGGTTTCTCCATATTTATTTTGCTCACATGCACAGACGGAATTTATGAGCACTGAGCTAGAGACATTTGTGGATAAATTGGATAGGGCAGATTAGTATGTCTTAGCTAAGCTGGTGAAGAGCTGCTTCATGAGGTTTCTTCTCCCACAACACACCTCTGTTTAAAAATTTATGTTCAATCCCATTTACCTATTTGGATTCTTTCACGTCAGTTTTCTTAAAGAAGATTCTCGTTTGATTACTGAGCAAAAGTAATTATTCCTGTCAAGTACTCCTGTCACTCCCCACCCTGTTTCTTCTTTTCTTCCTCCCCAGAGGGAAAGCTGTATTCTGCCACAGTGACTGACTTCCTAGCAATAGATGCAGTCATATACCGGAGCCTTGGAGAAAGCCCAACTCTGCGGACAGTGAAACATGACTCAAAGTGGTTGAAAGGTAGATAAACAAAACAAAACAAGGAAAAGCTGCATCTCTGATGACAGTCCTGGATTCCTGAAAGAGGAGCTAAATAGCATCTCTTACACTGATCTGTTTATCTGTTTTTCCTCTTCTCCCCACCCCAAGCTATCGGACTTGACATAAAATGAGAGCGTAGTAGACCTGAATATAGTCTAAAGAGCTTTCCAAGCTGAAGTCATCAATTTACAGCTGTTGGATGCAAAGGCTGGAATTTTCAGGGCTCAGTGTGCTTGGTGTACTCAGACTGTGTCTGCAGCACTCCCTTCCCTGGCAGCATATTAGGTACCAGTCTGGGCTTCGTGAAGGATGAAGAACTTGAGCTGCAACATTAAGATTTGTCAGTGAAAAATAAAATTATAGGAATATTGCACAAAGCCTTCCTTTTATATTCCCTAGGTACTGTGCAGCTGCCATTGAATTAGGCAATGTGTGCTCTAAATGCCCTCATTGTTAAGAATGGTGCTGTTTAGCTTCACGTAGGCGTTATGAATAGTTAACATTTAGAGTGATCTTAACAGTGAGTAAAGCCATAGTTTGAAGGCTTTTTCTGCATGCAGAAATGTTTTGCCAGGTGTTGACATTAGCAGTCCCACTTTGCTTGTTGCTGCAGACATGTATGAGCAGAAACACTAACATGGCTTGTTCCTTCCACGTACAGCCTGCAGGCCATAAAGAGCTGTGTTTGAAGACCCAGGCATGCACTACACACTGCCTCTTCTCCTTTCTTTCCCCACCATGCTGTGCAGATGTGCAGTGGCAAACACTTGACAGCCTTGTAGAAGTTTTCTGCAGGCTGGCCCCCAATGGTGCTGCCAAGCAGGAGCTCCTCTCAGTTCTGCAAACTAGACAGGCTTGCCTCACGTGGGGTTTAAATTTTCAGCACTTAATGTGAATGCTTCTTTCTGCACACATAGTGCTTGCATGCTATATGCTGCACATGGAATGTCTTGTCTTTTTCCTAGAACCATACTTTGTCCAGGCAGTGGACTACGGCAATTATATTTACTTCTTCTTCCGGGAAATAGCAGTGGAGTACAACAGCATGGGAAAGGTAAGGGTGAAAACATTGCCTCAGATGACTTAGTGACATTCAGGAGGAGAAAAACATATGCTATTCTTGGACTGGTGCTATTAGGAATGACCTTGAAATGAAAACCATAAATCATGATGACAGGGTCATCATTTTGAGAAGTTTCCTATTGCTCAAGCCAAAAGGTGGGCAGGAGTGAAACATCACACTGTCTTGAAAGGAAACAGGGTGGTTTCTGGCAGTGGTGACTTAGGCTGGAATCTCTTTTCCCAGTCATAAAAAGCACAAGGCAAATGTGCTACCTTCAGTGTGCTTTAAAATGGCTTCTAAAGCAAGGCAGTATTTGTCTTTAAGAAATCTGAATTTGAGTAATCGAAGGGAGAAATTTTGTGGTCTGCCATTCTTCAAAAAATAATTAAACATTTACTGCATTTTTGTGAATTTCACAATAGGTTTCTGACTAAGCAGTCAGAAAAACTGACCAAGGTCAGAAAGGTGAAGGGGAGGAATAAAAGCCCAGCAAGATTTGCATAGCTTTTAAGTGCTGAAAATACCAGAGTCGGAGCAGGCAGTGTGGGTTGCAGAGACTGTGAATATAAAATGTGCTATTGTTTGGGGAAATAGAAAGCTAAGCAGTCTGCATGGAAATGAGTTTTATTTGGGTTGAGAACAGATCTCTTGAAGGATTTATGGCTGTGTATTAAATGCCACAGCCTTATCATTTATAACATGCTGTTCCAAAGCTGAATTTTCTCAGTTTCTTATTGCCACAGATTATGGAAACATGGGATTAAATTAAGCACCTTGCTGTGTCGTTTCAAATGTTTCAAATGCAGAATTCCTACAGTCTTTGAGTTAAACATTTCATTTTCTCTAATATTCTTGCTATACTGCTTCCAGGTAGTTTTCCCGAGGGTGGCTCAGGTTTGCAAAAATGATATGGGAGGATCTCAGAGAGTGCTGGAAAAACAGTGGACTTCCTTCCTCAAGGCTCGTTTGAACTGCTCAGTTCCGGGTGATTCACACTTCTACTTCAACATACTGCAGGCAGTTACAGATGTTATCCATTTCAATGGCCGGGATGTTGTTTTAGCAACCTTCTCCACTCCATATAACAGGTAATAGGAGCAATAATCTTTTGTTTCCTTTACGTTTTGCTTTTCATTGCAGTTTCTTCTTACTCTATAAAGATCCAAGAAGCGATTGCTCATACAATGTAATTATTATGTACCATGCACTTACCAATAGTTTGTGTTTCATTTTAAGATACCTTGGCATTGCTTACTACATTTTATATCTGATAATTTAGAACAGCTTTCAAACATTTACTATCTGGACGTGTTCCTTGGACATTTTCTTTATGTGAGAATAATTCAGACCAGCTGCCAAGAAGTTTTGCAGAGTGTAAGTCTCAGAATGTTAATACAAAGAGAAAATACAGTTTTCCTTTCTTGCGAAGAGAGGACTGGGTCTGTCTCATTTGTAGCCTATTTCTCTGTGTTTCGTGCATCTCTATTGGCTCTTGTGTTCTCCCCTGGGAAAGCCACGGACCTCAGCCTTGTTGCAGGCTGCAGAGGAAGTTCTCCAGATCAGAACAGGAGAAGCAGAGGCAGGATAGAGCTTCAAAGTGTGTCAATTCCTTCTCTGATAATTTATTTTCACAGAAGGATGTCTTGAACTCCTCACGCTTAGCCAGCCAGTCTTATTAGTTTTTACCTCCCTGGAGCTGCACCCGTGATGTTTTTTTTGAGAGCAAGAGGGAAGGAGGAGCTCTGCTAAACAAAAAGACTATTCGTTTTGCTCAGCACATCAGCATGTCTTCATTGACACTCAGGAGTCCCAAACTTGCTTAAGCAGAGCCGTAACACAGCAAAGAAGTACCAGGGAGGGGAGTAATTCCTCAAGCACCTGTGTTTCATTGTACATGTGGTTTCCAAATGCTTCAGTTCACATGTTAAGAATTTATTGCTGTTATACATTATATGTGTTTCTCCAGAAGTTATTATGGTAGTAACTATCTTAATTATCAAGGTCTCATGGAGAAGTTAGAAAAGCATTCATAGTCTAATTAAAAGATATATTGCTGATTCACAGGGTAATGCTTGAGCTGAAAGGGGAATTTTATTGCTGAAATTCATCTAGTTTTACTGCACACTTGCCACCTTTTGTCAAAGCCTGGCCATAGTAAGATCATGCACAAAGCTGAATTCAAATGAGAGTAAGCCTAGCCCTCCATTTTTTAATCACTTCTCTTGACATGAAAATAATGGGAACTTCAAGAGAAAAATTAAGTCACAGGGAATAAAATTTTAAATTAAGATGATCTCTTCTTATGCAAAATGTCCTAATAAAAACAAGCAAATGGAGAATCAGCAGCAGCAAATATACTGTATCCTGAGATTACCTATAAATTGGGATGTCTTTCTACTCCGCTAGTATTTCCTGTGGTGTGTCATGAACAATCATTTACTTTAAATCCTGTGTTTTAGAATCTAAGTACATGGTTCTAAAATCAAGATCCTATTTATGGGCACCATTTTTTGCCAGGCATTGGAGGTGACAGAAAGGCACATAGCCTTGGGGGCATCTCAAAAACAGACCTACCTCTGACATGGACACCTCTCTCTCATTCATTCCTCCTTCTCTGAGGAAAAGCTTCAGCACATGCCTTTCATCTCTGGAACAAGAACATCCTCCTAAAGTGATCTGGAAAAGATCCCACAATTCAATCTGATATCAGCCAGGGTGGGAGCTGGTGATGGCTTGTAGTTAGCGCATAAGAAATTGCTTGGCTGTGACCCACAGTCCTCCATCCACATTGTTTAATGGTGCCGTGGACTTGCTAATTGCCATCCCCCGTAGAAAAGGATGTTGCAGCCTTCTCAGTAGTGATCCCTCCATCACTTTGAAATGTGTTGAGGACAGTTCTCTGCACATCTAAGTACTAACCCCTGTTTTTGAGTTAGTGCTAAATTCACAATATGCAAGACCTATCTGAAGTGGGAGTTGCTGTGCCTTAGGATGTGGTCCTGTTTGCAGCCAAGTACACCCCCAACTGACCCTTACATCAAAATACAAGTGGCTGCCTCTCCTTATAACTATCACTGTTTAGTATCACGTTAGTGAGAAGGTTTGAAGCAAGTTTCCTTCCATATAAGCACCCAGCCTGTGGAGATCGAAGTTGTACTATTATTGTCTCCCTACCTGTTGTTTCGTTCAGTAATAAGCATTTCAGAATCTCTTAATATTCAAACAATCGTTTCCTTATCAATTTTTGCACCCTTATAAGTTTAACTTTATTCTCTGAAACAGTATTACAGTTCCTACGTTTTCTCTTTGGTAGGTAATAGCCTACTAGCTAAAAGCAGGATTGAAAGACTTCAGCCAGTTAGGTTCATGCTATTTATCTGATAAAATCAAGCAGAAAAATCAGACATGAATACAGTAGTTAATGTGTAAAAAATGAAAGGTGGATAAATGAATAATTCATGCTTCCAAGTGAGTGACCATGGGAAAATCCTAAGCTTTTCAGAAAGTAAGTAGGTAAGGTTGTAATTATGTTTAGACAATGCTACCATGCGCTTGCTTGCAAATTTACAACTTTATCATCTAAAAATACAATTGTGTTTGCTTCTACAAGCTCTTTACACCTCACTGAGTGATTGAGTTAAGCAAATTGCTGAGCACAGTTAACTTCTTTCCACTGGGAAAACCTGATGGAGATGAGGCTATAAGAGGATGGAGTAATAATGTGGAAATGCAAATGACACAGTGCAGTGCACTTCCAGTTTGATCAGCTCCAACTTCTGATCTGCCTACAAGGTACTTTTGAGGCATGACAGGGACTGTGAGAATTCATACTGAGAAAATGTTGTGACTTACAAGAACTTAAATTTCCAAATAATGGGCTTTCAATGAGAATAGCTGCTACTCCTCATGCATTACCATTCATACACAGAGTTTTCCAGATTCTGTTCCCTTTTCAAGATTACTGCAATTAATTGTCTCTATAGAGGCTTTGAAACAAATTGTGCTGGCAGGAGCTGTCTGCTGATTGGTACATTTCAGTCTTTTCCATGGAGCTGGCTTTTCCTGTCAATACTCAGAGGTTACAGAGTTCAGAATTGAGTAGCCTGTGACAGCAAGACTTCTATACAGCATGTTTTTCTCTCAAGATTTTATGCATAACTGCAGAGTGAGTAACAATTTCTGGGAAATATCACTTTGCAGCATCCCTGGCTCTGCAGTCTGTGCCTATGACATGCTTGACATTGCCAGTGTATTCACTGGGAGATTCAAGGAGCAAAAGTCTCCAGACTCCACATGGACACCGGTTCCTGATGAAAGAGTGCCCAAACCCAGGTATGCCTTATGTGTAGTAATATTGTTCTGCTGCTGCATGCAGAGTCTTTGACAATCTGAATAGCCTTTTAAAGTACAGATATGGATGAAGATACATATAGTGGAAGTGAAATATCAGTTAAATTGCATTTGTACAGAAGTGAGAATTTTCCCACTAAAACCAGATTTGTGTAATGTAAAGCAAGCCAGATTTAGATGCACTTGGTCAGAATAAAAGCCGTTGAATAGTGGTACAAGTTACCTGTTGCATACTGGTTCAGTAAAGAGTGTATCTCATAGAAAAGCTGCACTAATTCTGGTCTAACATACAATTTACTTGACACAGAAAATGTATCTGGTTTGGGAGGACAGGAGTAGGAGGAGCAGCATTCCATTAGAATGGAGACTTGTTTTATCTCATTCCTTCTGAGCTGTTTTTCCAATTTCACTTCTCTCCTGTTTGCATGTAGATCTATTTTTACACTCTCTTCGTATTTCCTACGTGCATCCTTTTTGTTAGTTATTATTGACAGCCCTTTGTTAACCTATTTTCACCAGTGGCATTTTGCTCTGAGAATATGATGTAAATAAATAGATGAAATTAACTTAGAGTAGTGCTACCACTTTACTATATGTTTTATATCATCTATGATGTCTTTCATGAATTTAAAAAAAATCTAAAGCTTTGTGGTGTCAAGTAGGCTTCTACATAAGTCCAGATTTGGCCCATCGTGTTCGAGATTTGTCAAGTATACTGTCCCTGTGCTGTGCTTATTCTGGGGCTGTCAGTCAGGAGAAGAACCTGCAAGTGCCTGAAAAAGTCTCATCAGTTCTGTCTGTTTTCTCATCAGACTGTCTGTTTTCAGTCTGAACCCTAGAAAGGCACCTGCCCACATTGGTTTTCTTCTCCTTTTTGCAGTTCTTCAATAACTCACTGACTTGATGGTCTTCTTTGTCAGAGCAAGATGGCTTGAGAATTCTAAGGTCATTTACCTGAAAATGGTAGTCCTGCATAAAATATTGGCAAGGAAGAAGGACAAGGACAAAGAATAATGCTCCTTCTTGTCAATGGAAAGGGAAAAGTGAAAGTTTGTGAAACAGTCCAATGGCATGCTAACAGCTGAAGATGGGATAGTGCTGCTTCTTTTAAGTCAGTAGGAGATAATGTGAACTGAATGAGTGAAATGTTTAATACAGTGCTTGGCCATCAGTCTGCTAAATAAAATAATCATTACTTGTAATTCATGTTGAAATTCAGAAGAGAGGCAAAAGATGACTCTGAAATAGGGTCATTTCTGTTTGGATATCTTAAGATGATGCAGAAACATTAATGCTCTTGTTGATCCTAACATTTCTCAGAGACATGCTGGAAAATTTCAGGGGCCTTGCTTCCCTTTTTTGCTGAGATGAAGAGGAGGGTTTACTCAATTTTATGTTTACTCAACTGAGCCACTCTTGAGATTAAAATAGGGTTAATCCAATCATATGATTAGGATTTAGGAAGAAATAAGCCTCTAGATTAGATATGGAGAAAGTCTAGGCACTGTGGTGCCAGAAAGCATATGCTGCTCCCTAGAGAATTTCACCTATTGAATCAGTGCCTTTGCAAGGACCTAGTGATGACCTTGATTTATCCTCTATTGTAAATTCTATATGTAGTTACAAAATAATCAGAATATTTTGGACCTGGCAAGCACACAGAACAGTGGAAGACTAAAGGCACTGACGAAGTTAGTCCCTTCCTACCCACATAACGTTCAGTTACCTAAGGTTTGAACATTTATCTAAATCTGAGTGGCAGATATGTTCAAGATAGCATTACTCCATTGATGTCAATGGCTCTACCCACTTTAGATCAGATGAAGATTGAACTCTGCAGAGTGTTTACACACGGATGACCCATCTTTGGTCTTTTCATCTCACAGCGATTCAAAGGCTGAGGTCCAGGAAATTAGATCAAATGAAATTGGAGAAAATAATCCACAAAATCTTAATAATGGGCAAAAGAATTATGAGGCTTACCTGTTGAGGCAGGAAGGTTAAGTTAGCTCGAAGAGGAGGGCAGGTTTTAGGAATGCAGCAACTAGATCTGCATTTAAATTGACCAAAATGACTCAACAGTGTCTCAGTGGAAGTCCTTCATGTGCTCAAACACTTAAGTTCTCTTGTCCAGACCTACTTAAAGGATAAAACCGATGCTCACATGGGTGTTTGCTGGGTTTTGTTCTTCAAGACCTCTTTCTACCAGACAATATTGCAGGCAGCATCCTTCCACCCATTTTATAAAAGCAATTTCTCTCTGTATGCTAAAGACTAATTTTATTTTATGGAAGAACAGTCAGGTAGGCAAGATACAGATCAGAGAACATCTATGCCAGTGAACAGCATCAAGTCAAATACAAACAAACAGTAGCTAGGCTCCATGTGAGTGAATAAACTAAAATCCATGTGTTTCAAACTCCTGCTAAAAAAGTGTGTTTGTGCTTTTAGGTACATCTTGGAAGTACCTTTGAGTGGCAGTTAGAGCAGGGTCTGGGGTTTCCCTGAGGGTCAGAACAAGCCCAACATACTTCTCAATCCTTCATTTAAACGCTTGCACTCTATGCAATGCACTCTATGATTTCACTGAGGGTGTCATGACAGTTGTTACAGAAAGGAGATTTACACATGTATCAAGCAAGTGTTCTCACTTTACATTCTTGTTTTATTTAGACCAGGTTGTTGTGCTGGTTCTACATCATTAGAAAAATACTCATCCTCTAGTGAGTTCCCAGATGATACTCTGAACTTCATCAAAACACACCCACTGATGGATGAGGCTGTACCTTCCATTGTCAATCGACCCTGGTTCCTGAGAACGATGGTCAGGTAAGTACCACCAAATGGACTCTTCCTCCAGTTGTGGCTGTCAGGTTATGCTAATGGTCTTGTTTACAATACTCTCAAATGCTGTAGACACCCATGGTATGCTGGGCATGACTCCAGATAGGAAAGATGGTAGTGCTGAGCAGATGCTGTAGAACTCCCTGAGCAGTTTCCAAGATAGGAAAAACACTTAATCCTTTCCAAGTACTCTGTGGTAAAACTGGATTGTGGAGGAAATGCAGTGCAGGGAAGGTTGACCTGCCTCTTGGCTTATGGGTCAGTGTTTGAGACAGCTCTGTAGAAAACTTCAGGCAAGGATCAACAGATAGCCCAGGGATACGTATACAGGATACAAGCACGCCTGCCAGGATATATTCACAGGATATGAAGATGTCTGTTCTGTTATATACTGGTATGTATTACTGTTTAGAGAAGTGTACAGTGAAAACTAACCACAAAATCTGTATCCTTTCTATTACAACAGAAAAATAATGAAGAGGAGATTTGAACCAAGACTCATAAATCAGCAAGCCTCAAATACTCCATACTCTCCCTCTGTAAATATGTTCCCATGTCATGCTGTGATCACTAAACTACTTACCTACCATTCAGTTGTAAATGGAGTAATTCGAAAAAATTTGCCCTGTTTTCCTCTCTTCCTCTGTACAAGGGTGGAATTTTGTATCAAGACTTCAATACAGAAATGGGGTTCACAGAGCCCTGATGCAATATTACCCAGCTGCATTGCCATGCAATATTGCCATGCTGCATTTTAGTTATCTGTGTCTGGCCAAAGGTGAGAGCAACATGCTCTGCACAGTGCCTTTTTTTGACTTCCAGTACCAGGTAACCAATGGTATCAAATCACCAGCACTCACTCTCAATAAGTTCTGTGATCCCATAGTTAGATACCATTTTGGCAGTACAATCGGTTAGTGGTTGCTACGTGATTATTTTTAGTCAAAGAAAATGAAATTTAGCTTCTCAGCATTGCACTAACACAACTTTTCCTGACAAAAAAAAAATTGAATGGAGATCCATTATAGTTATTCTTCTTCTTAATGTGGTGGAGTTTGAAATTAAAAAATTTAAAACAAAAATCGCAATGCTGATTTTCTTTCCCTGCCTGTAGAAGACATCAAGCTGGTACTTTGCTTTTGTTTGGAAGGATAATTCCTAAATTGCCTCAGCCTCTCAACAGTTCTCCAGCCTTCTGCTTGAGGTTTGCTGCTGCAGATATGTTTGCTAACTGACATCTGGACATGCACACAAGCACATGGAAATTCCTTACCATTTGGGCAGCCAAACTGGTGCAGTCTGTGTTGACTTACAGGGTTATTCAGCTAGAAAAAGTGCTTAAATATGTTATATGATCTCCCAAAGGCTGTCTCACAGATATTTTAAGTGGAAAAAGTGATAAAATAAGCAGCAGTCTAATCCCTATGATGCAAGATGCTGTATTGTTATTCCAGATACCGCCTGACCAAAATTGCTGTCGACTCTGCTGCTGGGCCATATAAGAACTACACTGTGGTTTTCTTGGGATCAGAGAAGGGAATCATTCTGAAGTTCTTGGCACGGACAGGAAACAGCGGTTTCCTAAATGACAGCCTTTTCCTGGAGGAGATGAACATCTACAATCCTGAAAAGTATGTATCTGATTCTTTTTACTCGTGTATGGGTAACTTTTGACACTTCTGATTTCCCGGACAGCAAGTTGTCCCACGAAAAGGGAAGGAGGTAGAGAAGCCAAGTTTTTTTTGAGTAGTTTTAAATTGTTTGGAGGGATGTCTGGTTATCAGCTTCTACATTGAAATAAAATGTTTTTTACCCAGTATGTACAGACAATAGCCTATCCAATGCAGCAGTTGACAGATAATTGAAAGAAATTCTGCAGAGGTAGATTATTTTTCTAATCCTATAAAAAGCACGATTCCTCTCCAAATAACTCATCAACCAGCAAGATAATCTCCAAGGGAAATTTCTGGCATTTTAACCTTCCTTAAATATGCCTGAAGGGACACTGAAGTGGGCCATAAGCATGCAGAAATTTCAATTACTTTGAGTGCTGGAGAAGAATAAACTTAAAAACTGAAGGGCTCTTAGAAAGCATGTCTGGTTTGCAGTCTCTCTCCACCTCTCCTTCCCTTGAACCATGCCCTTTAATGCTTAGTTGTATGTCTTTTTATTAGTGTTTTTAGTGGCTGTTTATTCTTTCACCTTGTCTTGTTCAGGTTCTGTTTCTGGTCATTGTTTCCTTTGATTGAGGAACCGTCAGTTTTTCATCTGGTTTCCCAGCAGAACTCTTTTGTGACTGTTTCTCACTGTGTCAAATCAGGTGCAGTTACGATGGCATGGAAGACAAGCGTATTGTGGCCATGCAGCTTGACAAACCCAGCAGCGCCCTTTACGTTGCCTTCTCCACCTGTGTCATCAAGGTTCCCCTGGGGCGGTGTGAGCGTCACGGCAAATGCAAAAAGTACGTACTTTGGCCAGCACTTAATCTCTTGTCAGAAGCCTGCGTGCCAGGCATGAGAGCAATCCAAAATGCTTCCTCTGCTTTTTTCTCAAGGGCCTGCATAGCATCCAGAGACCCTTACTGCGGCTGGGTGAAGGAGAGTGGGGCATGCACACAGCTGGTCCTTGGTGCTAAGTGAGTAATGACTCCTGCTGGAAAAGTACGAGGCAGTGGCAGTGGCGCCAGGGGGACTTGGACTGAGCTTTTTGAAATGTGGGGCTCTCGGGGAAGAAAAATGTGTGAAGTGTTTGTTCCTGCCCGGTTTACATTCTCTGAAATTTCTCACGATTATTTTTTTTTTTTGGTGTAAACTCTCAGCTGAGTGGTAACTGCTGAAAGAGGAGGAAGAAGAAAATGAAAGAGCTGTGCTAAAGCCCACGTGTTGTTGAAAAGAGGGAACTGGATGGCTGTGTCTGGACCAGCCCACACTGGAGCCATCACAGCTGATTAAAGAGGCAATAGAATCCAAATCAGATTACTGTAGCAATTTGTCCACTGGAAACAAAACCAGTCCTTCTAATTTACTGTGCATTACTAAGAGGAATCACAGGACACAGAAAAAGCTTGAAGTATATTCAGAGAAGGGCTGGATTTCCCCTTGCTTAACAGTAGAATTTAATTATTTCATAATAATAGAAACTCTGTGAAGTTTTGTTTAAATACGATTACCTAAGTCTCCTTGTAGAGAGCAGATCTGTTTCAAACATCATATTCCTGGGCTACATCTGACACTATGAAAATACAGCTTAACTCCAGTGTGGCACAAACATCGCACAACCACAGCAGCCTCACAGCCGATCCAACTTAAGCCTACTTCTGTACTGGATGAGTTATCATTCCTTTGTTTATTCCATGGTCTTAATTAGCTGTTTAAATTCCAGTTATTTTGTCCATTGTGGATATTGTAGCTTTATCTGTCTGAATATACTTTATCACAGAAGTGGGAACTGGTCATTTTGTAGAATAACATTAAAGTGCACTTCTGTGCATATAAGGGTTTCTCAGCATTCTTGAAGTACTTGAGACTTCTGCTCTTGGCCAGGACAAGTTTTAGGGGGCTTATACACCTTACCATCAAAAGTGGCTCTTCTGCTTTATGAGAAGTTTCATCTGACCATGAGAAGAAAACTTATTTGAGGGTGACATAGCACTAGAACAGGCTGCCCAGAGAGGTTATGGAGTCTCCTTCACTGGAAGTATTTAAAAACCCACCGGGACTCTTTTGCAAGCTGTTCCAGGGATGCTGGTCTAGCATGGGGTTGGACTAAATGATCTTCTGAGGTCTCTTCCAGCCCCTGAACTCTGTGATTCTGTGAGACAGAGGCAGTATAACTCGTAGTGGTTCAGTCTGCAGGTAAGCAAGGCATGTCACTCTCTACCAATGCACAGCACTTAGGAAGAAGGTGCAAATCAACTTTCAGATGTCAGTTGAACTTCTGAATTATCCAGCAGGTGCCTTCCTGGAGTAGGTGACAGTTGAGCAGGAGTTTTAAGAACACAGTTCTGGGAATTGTGTGTATGCAGGGATAATTATGCCTCAACAGCAAGATCCTAACTGATGTAGACAAAAGCTTGTACTGGAGGTTTTCCAAGGTTCTTGCACTCCTCTTTTACCATATTTGGAACTTGGAAAAGCAGCTTCACAAAATGTCTGGCACAGGTTAAAAGCCTAAGTTGGGCATGCCAGCTAGGAAAGCCTATACATATTTATCAGTCGAGGCCCTTAGATTCATTGTAATTCACTTTGGGATCCTGGGCTCCATCAGGAGAGGGGTGGTCAGCAGGGAGAGGGAGGTGATTGTCCCTCTCTACTCGGCTCTTGTAAGGCCCCACCTGGAGTACTGTGTCCAGGTGTGGAGCCCTCAGTACAAGAAAGACATAGAGATCTTGGAAAGGGTCCAGAGGAGGGCGACTAAGATGATCAGGGGGCTGGAGCACCTCCCCTATGAGGACAGGCTGAGGGAGTTGGGCTTGTTCAGCCTGGAGAAGAGAAGGCTGCGGGGCGACCTCATTGCAGCTTATCAATACCTGAAGGGAACCTACAGCCAGGAGGGGAGTCAACTCTTCAGAAGGGCTGACAACAGCAGGACTAGGGGAAATGGATCAAAGTTGAAGGAGGAAAGATTTAGGTTGGATGTTAGGGGGAAGTTCTTCACAAGGAGAGTGGTTAGGCCCTGGAACGGGCTGCCCAGGGAGGTTGTGGATGCCCCGTCCTTGGACGTGTTCAAGGCCAGGTTGGACGGGGTCCTGGGCAACCTGATCTGAATGTGTACGTTTGGTGGCCCTGCTGGGCAGGGGGGTTGGAACTACATGATCCTTGAGGTCCCTTCCAACCCAGGTGATTCTGTGATTCTGTGATTCTGTGATTCTGTGATCTCTGGACCTTATGACCTGCAACCTGCAATGCTTAAATAATTTTGAAAATGCAGATTATGTTGCCCCAGCACAGTACCTAACTCGTAGGTTAGCTTCCTTCTTATGTCAAAGTATTGGTGCTGTATGGACAAGTCAAGGTAGGATCATAATTGCTCCTGACAATGTCATTTTTTTTTATGGTTAACAATTTAAAAAGATATGAATGTTTGCCTTCCTTGACAAAAAGATACACAGTGGGTTTTCAAAGAAGAAGCCGAGGAATCACTTTCTGATGACAAACAATTTGAAGGCCTAAGTTTCTAGTTTGTTTGTTGTTTTTTTTTTACACTTTACAAAAGATTCAAAGAAATGTCCAGTTTCATGATGTGTCTTTATTTCAGCTGCAGATGTGACAATTTTTTTTCTGGTAGTCCTGTGACAGTTGTTACTCATGCTGTTATGTTTCTTTCTATTATTTAGGCTGGTGTTTGAGCAGGACGTAGAACATGGCAATACAGATGGCCTGGGGGACTGCCAAAGTAAGCAAAGCTTTGGCCTTCTTTTTACCATGTGTAACAGCATCTTTCTGAATGCCATAAAATCACCATTACCAGTTAGACATTGGACGTTCCTCTATAGCAGTGTAAGCCACAGCAGGGATTGCAACTGAAGTTAAAGATGCAGATGCAGATGAAGTTAAAGATGACAGAAATGAAACTGTTGTTTAGATGTATTCAAATAGCCCAGTTGGTGTGATTTATTCAAACTCTGGACTTTATATAATGAGAAGACTTCTGTTCTAGAGGATATTGATCACAGCAATGAAATAATGAATTGGCTGTTCATTGTCTCTATCAGTCATGGTGGCTGGGTTGTTTATGCAGATATGAAGAAGGAGCTTGGTTTTTTGGTGTAGACGATGACTTGAATTGCACTCCTATGCAGATCAGGGAGACAGTGAAATATATCTTCAGCTTTTGTTCTGAATCAGTAAGTGGGAGTTGCTGTGCTTGTGAATATTAGTGAATTTTACACATAGGCTGGAAAATGTGGCAGTGTTAAGAGTCAAGCACCACTGTTTCTGCCTAAGAAATTTTAATGATAAACCTTACATACTGACAGCAAGAGCTGGAAGCATAAACATTTATGTTTGGCACTGAAATGCTTACAAGTACTGAACAAAGAAGCTGTCCTTGTTCAAGCCTCAGTTACTACTGTCATAATTGTGCTTGTGGCTTTACAAGGATTTCCGCCACTACATGCCTTTGTCTCAGCTACACCTCCCTCTGCCTGTCCCCTAAGACAGGGTCACTTACACTGTCTCTAAGTTTTTTGAAGGAGGTATACACACAATCCTTCTTGTCCTCCCTGTGAAACAGTATAGCACCAAAAGTAGGTCATTTCCCAGCTGGTGCAACTTAGCCCTTTTCAACTATCAACTTATTTCTGCTCTTCTTGGGCAAATAGGTTAGACAGCAGTGGAGTCCATCGGACATCAGCTGCACATAAAAGGGGAAGAAGTGATTTAGAAAGGGCAAGTTGTGCTCATGGAGAAAGATCCCTGTGCAGCTGGCAAAGAGCAAATACCCTGCTTAAATAGCTCTTTAGCTCTAAATGGTACACCGAACCGTGACAGTGCACAAGGGTGGATGTTCATCTGGCTGGTTTTACTACTTCATGAGGTCTTGGATCATGTGAGTTTTGTCCTCATCAACTCATGATACTGGCTGCATCATTTATGGTGCCTTACACTGGAACGGGACTTGACCTTGCAAAAAAAAGAAAAGAAAAAAAAAGCATGCCAGGGAGAAAGCTGGGCTTCCTGTTTGGTGTTACTTGTGTGGGTCCAGCCATGAATGCATTTAAAGTCAGGTTTGTTTTCGGGCATTTCTGAATACTCATTTTGCACAGGTTCTTGGTGTAATAATCACATACATACAGATATCAGCTGAAGCATAAGAGATTGCTAGCAGTAAAGTACTAAAAAGGAAAAAAGTGAAAGAGAAATAATGACTTTTTTTCCCTGTTATTTGTCTTTCAGATTCCTTCGTAGCCCTGAATGGTAAGAAAGTTCATAGTTTTTTTATTTACTGACAGCAAATCCATTTTGGAGGAATTACTTTTTACTTAACTGTTAAGTATTTTCATATTTTTTGTCTTACTTAATGTTTTGTTTTGTTTTTTTTTCCCAATTTATTTTGTTCATAGACATTTCAACTGCTTCACCTGATCATGAAATGTCTTACAACACAGTGTATGGTCAGTTTATGGGTGTTTTTTAAGAAGTCTCCCTGGAACCTTGTGTTAACCAGTAGTTCCTCTAGTCAAAGAGCCATTAACCTTTTCTTATTTGTTTTGTCTTCCTTCTGAGGGCCTAATTCACTAATCACAAGTGAAAATAAGTAATGCCTCTTCATTTGCATTCCCTCTTTTCTAGTCCTCTCTCAAAACTGCTTAAGATGGTTTATTTTACTGGCACTCCAGCAGGCATGATTAAGAGCTTGCTTCATCTGAATACACAGACAAAGAAAGACTTGGATACAGTGATGCATATTATCTGTTCCCTGGGAAAAACAAGATAGCTCACATCCCACTCATGAGGTATTCAGGCTGGTATCACGACTGCTCCAGCAGCTAGTCAACGATAGCTTTGGGAAAGGATCAGAACTGTCCCTGGGTGATAGAGAGACCTCTCTTAAGAAAAATTAATCATTACCCATGTCAGTTGAGATTGGGTTACACCCTGAGTTAAGAAAGTTTCGGTCACTTCTGCAGTGAATCATTTATGTTATCCGTTCTTGCAGTATCACAATACTCCATGGTGCCTGGTCTGTAAAAAATGGAATTTGCACAACAAATTAGGTGATCAAAGCTGAAAAGAAGCATTTCTGCCAGCTTAGGGTAACAGTTTCCCTCCAGGCAGCTGTTAATCTGCAGTTGCAGTTCTTTGCACCACTTTGTTCTTTGTTTGAAAGTGGATTACATTGGCACTGGGAGTGCAAAGTGTCTTCTGGAGGAATTACTGAAGAGTAAATGATGAAATCAAATTCAAACCTAGATTCATCTTGCAATAGCTTCTCCTTATCGGCAACCTGAACAATGACAAGTGCTCACAAGGATGTGTGATGTTGTTCGCAATGGAGTCAATGGTGAATTTCCATGTGGGATGAGAACTTACTTGTGAAATTACTTCCAGGCTGTTCAAGACTAAATGTTCATTAGAGCTGGGGCAAAATAACTATATGTTTAGAACATAAATAGAGGTAGACTAGTTTGAAATTGTGATGATGCACAATAGATCGATCCCTTCACCTCATGCCTGCAAAATATGTAGGTACAAACAGAACCAATGATAACTCAGTGCAGCAGAATGTAAATAACTGGAGGTACACCAGTACTGTTCAGCATTTAAAATAAAGAAATAAATAAAATTTCCCATGTTGTTTTTAATCAGGAAATAGAAAATGTGCAAGTGAAGCTTGTTTGCAAGTATGATAATGAAAACCAATTATGGAAATACACAAAATCAAAGGCAAGCTGAGACTTCATAATGCGTGAAAGACTGATTGTTTCGTCTGCACGTACAGCTTGCAGTTGAAATTGGTATATAACCAAGGCACAGAGCAGTAATTAAAGAACAAGTAGTAATAATAAAATCCATACTGCTGAATCTAAAGAAAAAGAAAATGGCCTTGAGTCCATTGTTAGTATGCCAGAAGTGTCTTAGCATTTTTGCTACTATGCTTGAAGGCTGCACAGTTATAGCTGTAGGCAGCAAACCTGTATCCCATCAGCTACCATATCAGTACAGACTTCATCCAAAGTTGATATTTTGGTTTGACTGAGAAAGCAGGAAAAAAATGGTTCAAATGAGTGACAGAGTGAAAACAAGCTGCAGTCCTAGGTAACATGGGTTACAAAAGAAGTCCAGTCTACTGTCCTTACATGAATGAATCCAGCTGATAAGATAGGATCCCACTGCCAAATGTGAGTTGAAAATGATGACCCAACATGAACATTGATTCCCATTCATGGCATCTTTCGCAGATTTTTTCAGTGACTCTTCACAGGTAGATCCTGATCCACAGTCACTAAGCGAGACAGCTCTTCCCATTATGGGTCCAGTTGAAATACTGCTATTTCTGCAGTCAGTCTTTCTTTTCACCTATGAGGACAAAATACTAAAAGAGCTTGTCACTTCTGTTGATCTTCCACATGAGGAGTGTAAAGAAGTCCAGCACTAGACAGTCAACCAGTCTAGGTAGACATGCTCACGTTTGCTAAATATTACATCTGCTCTGAGTAATATTTTGTTTTCTTGAGGAAACTGAAATTTTATAAATGGTGCCTTTTACTGTTAAATATGTAACTAAATGATATTTCAGATTAAACCTCAGAGCTGCGATATGTCAGGAGCCAATCAAGCGAATGCTTAGAGTGCTTCTGCTGGGTTAAATATATCCCAAGGCATCTGAAGCTCCAGGTGCAAAAAAAAGTCTTACAGCTTGATTACCTCCTTCAGCTGATTTACACCACCACAAATCATCACGCTTTGGTGGACTTATTGCCTATCTGTAGCAGTGTAACTGAAGGGAGAATCAAGCCCTTTATTGCTGTATTCCTGACATTAGCCTCTTCCTGAATTTGGCAGGTGGGATCCTTTTTCTAGGGCAGTCTCCCATGGTCGGTTGTAAACAAGTAAGAAACTACAAAGCCCGCTCAGGTGGCTGTTCAATTATATCTCTTTTGACACTCAAGAAGAAGATAGCAGGCTGAAGATATGCTGCAGAAGGTCAGAGAAGAATGGTGAAAGAGACGCATGTTTAAACAAAGAGATTAGCCTAGATTCTTCCATAAAATTGTAAGCAGCTTCAATTATCGTTGGAAACATTCCGTTCTTAGTGAATTGGGCCCTTATCTTACCCCCTAGCCATATCCCTTTCTCTCTTTGTAGTATTGATTTAGCCTTTCCTACTAATTGTCTAATTAGGTTGCTATAATTGTTAATAGAATAGTGTGCGGACGTCTTAACCTCTGAGAACCTAATGACTTGTGCATATTAGTGCAACCATCAAATACGTATTGAATCCCTGTCTTTGTTTTAAAGCTGAAAAAATCTCTTTCTGTTTTACAAGTGCATTTCCAATTGAGCTGTAGTTATAAAAGCACAGCCCTGTTGAATCATTACCCATGCCTGTAGATCTTAGGAGCTTTTATGCTGGTTCTATGGTTTTATGCTTGGTTACAGCACTCCAAATGAAGAGTTTTTGCAAACAGTGGAAGCAACCTAAAACAGATCTTTTTTGAAGTGTGTCTATTTTGAGTTTTGAATATTTCCTCTGAACAAAGCGGTTTGAAAAGGACCATCTCTGCAGTTTTCAGATGGATTGTTTTAAAACAAAGGCGGGATTGTGGTTTTTATATATAAGAAACTCTAGCTAATACTAACATAGAGGTACCAGCCATAGAGATGCTGGCTATAGAGGGAAAGACTCTTAAAACTGTAGCAAAACCAGTTTACACAGTCAGACTGGTACAAATGGTGCGATGGGAAAAAGGAAAACAAGATCCTCTTAGTGTTGCAAACTGTACAGTACACTGTAAAGGCTTAATAGTGACTGAATGTGAAAGGGCTAGGAGTACACTGCCTGCCACTCCACTCTCTTCTCTGTTTATGAGAGAAACTTAACTACCTAATACATCTGTGGTGCCGCTCGGTTCAAAGGTGAAATTCACCCAGTGGGACTGACTGCTTATGAGACTCAGTGATACTGCTTACGGTATCCAGCATGGTAGCGCTGCCCAGTAGTAAACGCTTCCAGAACGCAGATCTTGCTCCGGTAAGGAAAGTTGTTAAGCTCAATCTGCTCCTTCCCTGCTTCTACCGAATGGAAGAAAGTTTATCTTGATTTCACGTGGAGGATTGTTTCTCAGTGTGTACTATACTTGCACATTAGTAACAGAGCAAAGAGACTGATTTCTCCGCTTGTGTGAAACCCTTCACTACCTAACTACCATCTGGCACACATTAGTGTCTTCACAAAGCTTTAGCTTTCCATTACTGAGAAATTCTCCATGTATTTGCAGCATATGGTTGAGGATTTTTTTTTTTTTTTTTGAAAATGTGTCCCTTGGGCATGTATTTCCTCTAGATTGCTGTATTAAGAAATGTTTTTCTTTAAACATATTTACAGCTTTTTCTTAAAATTGACCCTCAAACACATCTAAAATAGGCATAAAAATGCATATCAAAGACAGGTATAAAACATGATTGCTACTTGGCAAGATTTTCTTCTACCTCTATATCCAGCTCTGATTAATTGCTTTCTCATGTTGAGTGCAGTGTTATTTGTAGGCTGATCAAATACTGTACACATTATTGTGGTCATTTAATGGGGTATTAATTTGGAGATGTGACTTAGTCCTTAGGAAAAAGAAGACAAGGAAATCTCATAGCCGTTTTCTGGCCTGTTCTCTGTCCCATTGTTCTTCTTCTTTCTTGGGAATGAGCACAGGAACTGACAAGCGTGAAATGGTGTAGAAGTGAAAGCTTTCACGCTCCAGCATTTCCTTGCTTCAGAAGGGCACGTGTTTTCAGCCCATGGGGCCTCTACCTGTCTTCTTGGAAACAGGCAGCCCTGCAGACCTTCGGTGATAAAAGCATAAAGTTTGGATCACGGTCTGTCATCCATCTAGCTGGGTTATCAGTGTTTCCAGCTATGCTGTGGCTTATAGGAACCTTTAAAAGTGGATAATATTTGGGTTCTCTTTCCTATTTAAGCAAAATTAAAGCTCAGTTTTCAACAAAATGCAGCCTCTGATTTGCTGTTAAAGAAAGATGGCTAGAGAAACCACACTTCCTACCACAGGAGATAGAAAGTAGAACAGTTCCCTTGTCAACATAAGCCTTCAGACTGAGGTCCAGTGCCCAATTAATCATGTTTATGATTTGCTATGGTATCTGAAGTTAGACTCAATGGTGAGAATACTGAATCAGCCAACTTTCGCTGCAAAGCATAATAGTTACAGGATTTTGTTCTGTCCATGTCCTGTTTGAAGTGTGTAGCAATTCAAAAGTGCTCCTCAAAATTATGCAGAGGAGCTACAGGTATTTTCTTGCCTTCCAAAATCATTAGTATTCACCAGGACATCTTTTAAATCACAGCAGCATCCTAGCAGATGCCACAGATTTTTTTGTTGATTTCATCAACATTTTAGCCTCACAAAGCTGTTAAAAGGTCTAGATAAAGTGAAGTGCATGCTTGCATCAAAACTTGGACACACTGGTGTCCAAGATTTAGATTTCTGATGGCTAGAAGAGAATTGGGAACCTTAGATTCATTAGCTCTCTGTGCACATGGCTCTGAGAGCATGAGCTGAAGCACAGATGGAAAATCCACCTGAAGCAGCCTTTTCAAGGTACAGCATCGTGAAGCTTTATGTGTGTCCAGTGACAAAATGACAAGCACAATTTCCTCTCTTCAAGATCTGTAAACTCAGCTCCAAATTTGGGCTCCTTGTGTACTTCTGCCCCAACCTCAAATGCTTTTTCTGAGAACTGTAATATTTGGTGAAGGAGAGGGGAAGAGTCCTTGCTAGAACAGTCAGTAGTCTGGCGACTGGCCTCCTCCCCATGGAGAGGACTGAAATCTAATTTAGGTTGCTAGGCTATTACAAAGGAAGCAGGAGAATGGAGGACTAGTCTTTGTCTGTCCAGTGTAATCTAAAAAGATATTATCTGCCTTTTTGTCTGAATGATCTGATTCTACTCTTTCAGGAAAGCAGGTAAGGGAATATTGAGTTATTCCATATCAAGGACAGAAGCAGTTTGAGTCCTGTTGAAGATAAGACATTTTGGTGCACATAGTGAAAGGGAACTCTCAGAAGCAAGTGATTTTAAAGTCAAAATGTGGTGTGGAGGGAGTTTCAATGCCCTCTTTCCCAGGAGCCAAGGAGCAAACAAGCCACTGAGACATCTTGGTTAGAGCCAGCATTCAGAGACCATAAACTTCAAGCACGTTGCATTTTGGGTGCTGACCTGCTTCTTGGGATCAAGTTTACAAAGATGCAAATATATTTATGCCCCAGCCAAACCAGTGTTAATGCTGTTTGGTGCCTACAGCAGCTTATGTCCTATTTGTGTGCTGTTTGTTAGGATCTATTCAAACAGTGAGGAATTCCTCAGCCATTTTCAGCCATAACAATGTCTAGAGCAGATGTAGAACTCATCATCGCTGGACTGTAATCCTCTCTTCTGGTCTAGAAGTGTGTGCTGACCTCCAGCAGCCTACGTGACAAATGCAAAGCAGATCACATCCTAAATTTTCTTCAGAATGAGCATGCAGGCATTCAAAGGGGCTTACAGCAAGCGAGCAATGCCATGCCTCTGTCCTAACAGGTCTACCAGCCAAGTGAGATGTGAAGACCATAGTAGTTATGGGTTCTTTGCCAGTTTTACATAGTAAGCTCTTTTCTTCATTGTTAATTTGAGAAATAATGTTCAGCTTCATGCTAGCAGTCCTTACCTCTTTTACAACGCCAGCTCAGATGATACCAGTGGCGATGGTGCAAGTGGGCATGAACCCAGCACATCTTCCAGCCCCACCCTGAGTCTGATGCCCCAGCACCAGTGTGCTACTTCTGGGCAGCCTCTTGTTCCCTTAGCGAACATCTATGTTGCAGCTCTTCTGGCATACCTCTTTGGTTTGGGCCATGCTTGAAGTTGTTCCATTTTAATGCTTAAGTTGTCTCTGAAGCTGCTTTTCAACCTAAGCCACTACCAGCCAGTGTGAACTGGCACTCTGGCATTGTACAAGCTCATGTGCAGAATCCAGCCAAAGGATGTCTGACTAAAGCAAAGCATCCTCATGATGCTCTGCATACCTTTAACACTGCTGGGCAAAAAAACAACCATGAACTAAGCTGCAGCCAACTGAATATGCACAGTCATGGACATTATCAGACTGGCCATTGGGGAAGGTCCAAATTCTGTGCTTCCTTGGGCAGTGCTTTGCAAGGACTTTGAAGCCTTGCTCAGCCTAAGAGGTTCACACATGAGGAAGATCAAAGTTTGTGCTCCTGAGCATAAGGTGGCGTGGTAAGTGACTAATTGAGCCTTGTCTTCCCTACCTGTATTTATAATGTAACAGGACATTCCAGTTCACTAGTTCCAAGCACCACCTCTTCCGACTCTTGGGCTCGACAGGGTTATGATGCTAGGGGACGCATGCTGGATTGGAAGGATCCGCTTGGTTCATCCGAAAATACAGATCCATATGTGGCAGTTTCATCCCATAATCATCAAGACAAGAAGGGTAAGGCCTTAGAAATGACTTCCTGTGGTGAGGAGGGAGGGGGGGAGGACTGAAGTGTAAGTGCTTCCAGCTGGCTCTGAGCAACATGTAATAAAACTCCTGTGCTATAATTAAAAGCTTATCGTAAAGTCTGAAACTAAACAGCCAATCTCAAACTCAGTCCTAGATAATTCACTGCCTGAGGAAACCACACAAAACAAATAGAAATGTGTGTCTTTGCTGTGTGTATTGTGCCAGTGCATGGGAAACAATGGGGACTTAGCTCTCTTTAAACTTGATCTTCCTCACTGTCTGTCAAAGGGAGATGCACGGCTTGCCATTGGTCCTAAGGGTGTATTTTCATACTGTCTTTTTTCCTGAATTCCTGGGGAAGCACAGCAGGTCTCAGCTTAATTTCACATTATTTCCATCTCTCTTTGGCCATCAGAGGGTACTGAAGCTCTGAGGTCTGTGCCTGTTTAACTGGTGGATTTGTGCTGACGCTGGTCCTAGCCACTGAACCCATAGTCCCACCGTCTTCAGTGGGAGCTGAGCATGAAATGAAACACCTTTGAGATCATCATTAGTGATTTTCAAAAGATACTTGGGTGGTTGCTGGTGCATTCCTCTGTTGTGTTTTTAAAGCCCAAAATGGTGCTTTGCTTTAGGTTTATTATTCCATGTTCAGCCCTGAGCTGAAGCACCATTGTGCCTGAGACAAGGGCCAGCCCTGTTGTTTGGCCTCTAATCCCACTTTGCTGTGCATATAAAGTATTAAGCAGAGAGTTGCTTCAGCTTGCCACTTGAACCTGCTTACTGAAAGAGAAGCTTTTCTTCTGAGTGAGCATGGTGGTGCCTCGTAATTCCGTCATGGCCCTCCAAAGTTCTTCCCACTGCTTCCCATTCCTATCTGAATGAGGTTAAAATGGTGCCTTTGTAAATAGGGGGCCTAGGTTCAAATATCTCCTCTACCTAGAGAGATTTGAGTCTTTGTTATTCTTCTCCAGGGTGTTCTTAGATCTCTTCTTTCAATTTCTTCTCTGCCCAAGATGTTTCACTCTGTATGCACTAATTAAGTACTCAGTGGACCAGGAGGAGGATGGGTATAAGCAAAACTCACTTGCTGTGTGGTTAGGGCACTCACCAGGAGCAGAAGCACACATGAGCTTCAGGCCTTTCTACTATGAATACTTTATAAAAAACACTTAAAATATTAATTGAAATGTGGATTCCAGTCTCTATTGTTCATGCATTTTACATGAAAAACTCATTAGATGAAAGCATCAGCTGTTCCTGGAGAGGCTACTGGCATGCCAGACCTACTGCTTTGAATTGTCAGCCCAAACTAGTAGGTTAGTAAATCATATTCCTTCCCTCTGTCTAACCCACTGAGTCCTGAGTTCTCTGCGTCACTGCAGAAACTTCCAACAGGGAGTAATGAGCACGTTAACATTGGAAAACAGTTCAGTTTTCAGCACATCTGCAGGAACAGCTGACGGTGGTCTGGACTGTGATCTGTGAGCCTGGTGTTCACTACAGCCCCAGACACACAGCGTCTCCAACAGTCCTGGGATGTCCTGGATTTCTCATGGAACTCCTCACGGAGCTTTTGCAGCTCCTGGCCACAGGGGCATTGTGCATCACCTGGCTGACCCAGCAGAGACAAAGCCTGTAGCAGTTTTCCAGCCGAGGAGACTGGAAATTAAGCAGAAGATGCAGTAAATTTTCCTGGGATGCCATGGTGATCGTTAATCTAGTAGCCGTGGTGTTTAGGCTTGATGGCAGGAAATGGAACACAAAGATCTGAATTCCCTCAAGCAGAAGATATGAACTTGTGTCCCACCTTCCAGCAATTCACTTTTCCTGCAAAAAAAGAGACAAACTTTTCTTTCCGCTCAGTTTTATAAAATCTATTCCCAGATATTTTTTTTTTCTAAGCTTGATTCTATAGACATTCTGGGAGATAAAATGCAAATCTAAAGAAAAAACAATGTGAATTTTTGAACAATCAGGCTTACCTGTAAGGTAAGCACAGAGCTCCTCTGCACCCTGCAGAGGCTGCAGAGCCTCTGTGAAAATAATGGAGCTTCCTTTGCTGCAACTCAGAACCATAATATGAAGGAGGAGCATCTGTGGGTGTTGAAGATAAAAAGTCAGATTCCAAACTCTCAAACTTAAGTTCAGTCTGTGAGACTGTCCTCGTTTCTTTGAATCTGAACCCTATTCCTCTGCCCTGGCTCTTCAGCTGCAGAAAGGCAGTTTAGAAAAAGTTATTTCTGGGTGTTGGATATGTAGAAGAGAGAAAGCAGATAAACTTTCTTTAGAGATGGCAACGTGATTTACCTCCCTCTCCATTCTGTCTGAGCAGTAAATCAGTGATAATGCTGACAATCAAAGAAATAAAGTTCTTTTTTTTTCCTTTTTCTTCCAGTCTCAGTAACACCTGGTATTCAAACTGCTTGAAGTGAGAGGATATTTCTTAGAAAATAGTGTTCTGTCTTTGAAAGTAAGTGGTGGTTTTCTTCTCCTGCCTGAGATGTCATTAGGCAGACTTGGTGAGGAAGGGAGGAAAAGATCCTTGCACCCAGCCCTTCTGCTGGTGTCAGTCAGGGGTTGTAGGTCAGAATCTAGCAATAGTGGAAGGCACGGCCCCTTACATACCCAAAAGAACACAGAAAAGTGTATGCATTTTAATGCCACTATTTGTTATGTGTGGATTTTTACTTTTCAAATCTTATGCAAAACACTGCTTAGTAGCTGGAAAGCTTGTCTTTTAAAAGCATCTTGTATGCCAGCAGCAGCTTTCAGAGGAGCATGCATTGAAAATATTAATAAAAGTACATCTGTTGAATTTGAGTAATACTTGCTTCAATTCCCTGACTGGTGAGATGGCTGAAATTCAGTAGCTCCCTCCTCAGGGACTGATGGTTACCAAAGTGCTCTATTAGCACGTGACAAGGTCCTTTAAATATCATGCATTCTTCAGTGCCTAATTATTAATATTGACAAAGCTGGAAGCAGTCTACACACAATCAAAACAATGGCGGCAGAGGTGACCGCATGGTTGTTTGCCATTACCATCTACTTGTGTGTTGTCACTACTTGCCTCGCCGAGCCAAAGCTGCACGGCTCTAAAATTACTATTGATTAGTTGTTTTAAAAGGGCAAAGGAAAGAGTTCTTGCACAAAATTAAATCAGAAAATGTTAAGCTTGCTATTCTTTTATCAAGGTTTTGTTTTCACTTTTTCTGTGTTTTATTTTTTGCACATTCACAGAAAAAAAAAAAAAAAAACATTTCTTTTTAACATTTTCTCTTCATTTTGCAAAGTGCTTTGTGGCGTTCTTCATTGGTTCTGTCTAATCCTTCAGACACTGTTTACTTTCTTTTCCCATACATATAATTGTTACCAATTGCACTAATAGTACAAAATACACTTGCTGCTTTTTCTGTCTGTAACACGGGTGCTTTGATGATGTCACATCCATCCATATGCTTCACTTTTAATTCAGTGCAGGCATCTTGGGGAATATCTGTGGGGGCGTGAAGAGGGGGGTTCTTTAAAAGGGTTGACTCATGGGAATGTGACATTTGTGTGCCACAGTTTTAGTAGCTAAATATACTCTGGGATTGTTGTTTCTGAGCTACCTCACATTTCTTGCTAAGATGGAAATGTGTAGTGCAACCCGTAGAGTGGGAATTATGCATTGCTATCCCACTGGCATTTTCATTGTTGCCATTAAGAAATCTGCTTTTCTCATTGCAAACAAATGGAAAGAAAAAAAAACAGTTCTGATTGGGCAGATCGCACCCTCTTTCCTTTTCTCCATCTCCTCCACAGAAAAAAAAAGAAAAAAAACCCACAGCAAAACAAAACAACCTATGTTCTAGAGTATGTTTATGTTTTGTTTCCTTTCTTGCTGTGTTTTACCCTTGATTTAATTGCTTTGGTCTTGATTTAATTGTGTGTTTCTCACCTTTGTCGATAGAGTTTTCCTAACCTCGCAGTCTAACCTTCCCTTCTGCTGCCATTGTACTGAGCCTCCCTCCCACCCTTGGCAGTCATGAAGCTCCTCCTGCGAAGAGCTCCAAGGCTTTACCTGTACACCCAGTAGTGCCCCAGTAGCTGTATCTGTAGTCATTCTACTAACCATAGGGGACCTAGGTACATCATACCTATACCACTGATGGAGAGGCCTGTGTGAAGAATACAAAGTGATTTTCTCATCACCTTGCTGGCCCTTCTCTGCTGTCTCCTGTCCCTTTTGCCTCCCTTTAGGAATGCTTCATGCTTTTCCAGTACCAGATTTGCTAGCACAAATACAGCCAACTGTTCAGTTTTCTCATTCATTCCTCAAATGTACAGACCCTGCATTTATTGACAGTGTTCATAACTTGGCTTTAGATTATGATTTCTTTATACTGTTTATTTTCTGCAGCATTCAGGTGGACATGGTTTGTCTGGGCACTGACCAATAGAAGCATAGCATTATTTTTAGCAGCCTAGCATTATTTTTAGCAGCCTTAATGCTTGTATTCTCATTTGTGTCAGTGCTCATTATGAGACGGTATCTCCTTTTCATAACAAAACCAAACCTTTTTTCAGTACTAGCATGCCAATGGTAAAAAACTGATTAGAAGTAGGATGTGATGCACATAGCTTATACTGTTAATAGCTGCTGTTTGGATGTCCAGAATGCTCCTGTAGATATGGTATCTGTTAGTGTCTGTTATTTCACATGGAACAGTTAATAATTGCAGCCCTCAGGAGATACAGAGTTCAGTATCTTTAGCACTAATCAATAATTTGGAGAGGGATGTGTAATAGGGAAGCCCACGGGCTGATCCTTCCAAAAACTGCCTCCAGATGATGTTTTTTGTTGTACACAAGTGGCAGCGTTACTAATTTTTACTGAGGTTATCACTACTTGAAAGATTTACTAAGTGCTGACAGTGCTATCTGGAGAGTCTGCAAATGTTAGGACAGACTCTGCTCCAGGGAGACAGAATTGTATGAAATTT